CTTTTACCACCTTCGAATCTCCTCCCAAACACTAATATATATAATTATCTAATTTATCTCAGTTTTTTTAGAAGAATTATCTCCGTATTTAAACCGGAGAAAGGAAGAATTATCTAATTGAAGTGACTCTTTGCTGTAATCTAGTCAAAATACATTTTTCGAACAATTTCTTTTTTCTTTTCCCCACTTTGAATTTGTTGAATTTTTTCTGCCTCCAATGGAAGATAATGTCTCCACCTCAAAATAAATAAATAAATAAATAAGTTGTCTCCACCTCAACAAAAACATCAAAAAAATTGAAAAATAGTAAGACAAGATCTTACTCTTTAGGAAAAAACAAAAATAAAAATTGACAAATCAAGTTTGGTAATATGGTCCCTTTGGCAAGAGATCAATAAATTTCTTTCATAAGATCTTATTGATAACAACCTACTTTCTATACTATTTGAGAATTTTAGGGCTACAAATGGGTTATTTAGAACAAAATTAAGTATTTATGACAGAGTGAATTAATATTTTTTTACTCAATTCAAGTCGTTACGTACGTGAATTTACAAATTATAAATGTCTTTTCTTCAGTATAAAAATTATAAATGAATTTGATTGAGTATGAGTCAAATATAAATGCGCGTCAAATAAAATCTTAAATATTTTTATAAAAAATGGTAAATTTTCAAGTGAAGTGCATGTATGGGATTTGTTTTTAAGTAAAAATGAAAAAAAAAAAATTATATTCTTCGAAAATCTATAAAATATCAAATGAGATGATATTTTTATATCAAAATTTCATTATAATACCTCACTACATATTTTTCACATATTCTTAAGTTTCGTTTGTTTCCAGAAAATAATTTACCTTTGGAAAATATTTTCCTTTTAAATATATTTTCCAAATGACTTATTTTTCATTTTTTGGTTTCAATATTGAAAATTAGTTTAAATATTAAAATTTTTAACTCATAATACTATAAAAAATAATAATAATATAAATTTAGTATTTTCAAAATTTTATTGTTAAATATGAGAATAATGAAAAAAATGGTAAATTATGAAAGTCACTGGTGACCGATGATGGTGGCTAATGGTGAACAGTAAGTGGTGGTAGTGGCTACCAATAATTAATAAATTAAAAAAATATGTTATAAAGTCAAAATAATTTTGTCACAGTCTATAAAATATTTTACGTACGCTCTTGAAAATGGAAAGTCATTTTCCTTAAAAATGATTTAATTTCCTTTAACTAGGAAAATATTTTTCATTGACTTATTTTCCTGAAAGTCCTAAACAACGGAAAATTATAAAAAATATTTTCCTACAAATTATTTTACGGAAACAAATGGAGCCCTAGTTGTTTTCTTAAATACATTAGACGAATAAAATTGAATATAAATCTCAAAAACTTAATGGAAAATATTGATTCTTAAAAACCAAAATACATTCACTATTTTAACCTCATAGTTTTTGTAATAACAAACTGATAACAAAAAATAAATTATGTTCGCTAATTTGTTTAATGAGAGTTTTTGAGATGAAGAATATGAGAAATCCTTTGGATTAAGCATTTAACCCTTATATAGTGGGAAGAAAGGTGGGGTAGTAGAGAGAATCTCTCCACTACCAACTGCCAAAATATCTCCTCAATTGAGGATCTTTAGGGATACATGATAAACAGTTACTGGATATAATTTTATTTAATTAGATGTATAGTTTGTATTTTGAATATTATATCATATTTATTATATTTTATTATCAGGAGTCCCCCAAAAAGGTTTGGTCATTTATTTCTAAACGTGTCTATCTATTGCAAACTATTTGTGTGTATATCTGCTTAAGTCCGTCTGTCAAAGAGCTTTTTTGGAGCTCGGCCAAGATTGCTTAAGTCCGAGTCTTAAAGAGCTTTTTTGGAGTTCAGCCAGGATTGCTTAAATCAGCATGCCAAAGGACTTTTTGGAGGTCGGCCACGACTGCTTAAGTCCGTATGTCATGGAGCTTTTTGGAGCTTGGCCAGGACTGCTTGAGTCTGTTCGTTATGGAGCTTTTTGAGCTCAGCCAGGACTGCTTAAGTCCGTATATCGAAGAGCTTTTTGAAGCTCGATCAGGACTGCCTAAGTCTGTATGTCATAGAGCTTTTTGGAGCTCGGCCAGGACTGCTTAAGTCTGTATATTAAAAAGCTTTTTAAAGCTCAACTAGGATTGCCTAAGTCCATACTTCATTTAGATTTTTGAGCTCGGCCAGGACTGCTTAAGTCCATATGTCATGGAGCTTTTTGGAGCTCGGTCAAGACTGCTTAAGTCCAGTGATCAAAGTAAGGTCCATATGTCATGGAGCTTTTTGGAGCTCGGTCAAGACTGCTTAAGTCCAGTGATCAAAGTAAGACAAAGGTTTTTTTTATGAAAAACCTTAAGAGAAACTTAACATATATAGTCATTTCTACACCCTAGATCGGTAGACCCTTTCGATCCCCTAATACTACTCTAGTTCGCCTTTCTACACAAGACATCCTAACTCTCTTTTAAGTTGCCAGCAGGCTTCAATGTCATGCCCAATGTCTCTATGGAACTCACAGCATCAGCTCCTGTCTCTATATTCGGTGGTATCTTCTTTGATTTTTCTAGGAAAGCTTATCTGTACTTTATTACCTTGCTCCAATATCCATGCTAGTATCTCACTACGGGATTTATTTAAGGGGGGGGGGTGAACTCCCTTTCTTTAGTTAACCTGATCTCTCTATGATAAGGGGCTTTGACTGGGTAGCTTGTTTTTAGGTGTCTAATGGGTGACCTTCCCTTTGTTGGAGGTGAGTATCGGCTTCCACTATGTCTATCATTTCAAGGTGAGCTTTTTTACCGTGTGAGGTAGCTTCATCAGGTTTTGTGTACTTATGAGCTCTGGCCATTAGTTCTGCAAAAGATAGAGGAGGGTCAACATGTTTATACTTTTAAAAAGTTTATTACACTTACAATGCTTCACTATGGCGCTGATGACAACTTCGTCATTCAAATTCTCCACTTGCATTGTAAGCCTCTGAAACTTTGTCACATACAGCTTGAGCGATCCTCCTTCCTCTCGCTTCAAGTCAATAAGGTTAGAGGAAATTTTTCTCAAAGGGACGCTGGTGATGAATCGAGCTCTAAATAGCGTAGATAGCTGGGAAAAGGATTGGATGTAGCCAATCTTCAGCATCTGGTACCACTCCTGGGTGGTGCCTTTGAGCATAACTGGAAACACTTTGCACATGAAGTACTCTGAACTGGTCTACAAATACATAAGTGTTTTGAACACTGCTAGGTGACTGCGGGGATCGGTACTGTCATCGTAGGTTTGGAAGATCAGCATCTTGAATTTTGGTGGGAAAGCTGAGCTCAGAATGTTCAGGGACAGGGGCGAATCATCTCTAAATCCAAAATTTTCAATCTCTCCATGTTCTTTACATTCTCTGAAAATCTTCTTGACAACATTGCGAAGATCGGTGTTATTCACTACAGGTTGGGCGAGTTCCCTACTATCATGCATATAAGAGCTTTGGTTAGCTTCAGACTCGCCCTCCGGTAGCTTGGTTAAAGGTTCATTCTAGAAAGGCATATGGTTTTTTTATCTCTCAAATTTATTAGAGAGACTTGGGTGCTCCTGATCGCTTAGCTTCAGACTCGCCCTCCGGTAGCTTGGTTAAAGGTTCATTCTAGAAAGGCATATGGTTTTTTTATCTCTCAAATTTATTAGAGAGACTTGGGTGCTCCTGATCGCCATTAACATGCCTGCCTTTGCTGTTTGGGAATTGATGATCGATCTCCTGTTGAGGCTTGTCTAGCAGATGCTCAAGTACAATGGTGAAATGCTCATAAGCTCGAGTTAGGGCGGCTGCTACTTGAGGATCAGTCAACGGAGGAGGTGGCATTGACACTTGATTATTGGCTCTGTCTTGCTCTCCTGCCACTTCCTCTAAGCTTGGGTTTCTAAGTGAGCCGTTGGACATGGTGAATAAGGGATTTTGTTTTAGGTCTGAAAGAATCGTGAGGTGTGCTCCACGCTCACCGCACCTTTTGATAACAAAAAATTAATTATGTTCTCTAATTTGTTTAATGAGAGTTTTTGAGATGAAAAATATGAGAAATCCTTTGGATTAAGTGTTTAACCTTTTATATAGTGGGAAGAAAGGTGGGGTCCATTACCAATTGCCAAAATATCTCCTTAATTAAAGATTTTTAGGGATACAGGATAAACAGTTTTTGGATATGATTTTATTTAATTAGATTTATAGTTTGTATTTTGAATATTATATCATATGATGATGTCATGTGCATTTTTAGTGAGTTGCTCCTTTGGCAATTAGTGGACCCATATATGTGATCTCGTTGGTGGCTATTTCCTCGAGCAGCATTAATGGGCCTAACTTCTGCTTAAGTTACCCATAAATTTCTCCTTTCCAATATTCATGGGCTAGGCTTTGGTTAGCCCAAAAATTTCCTCCGTTCTGTAAGTAAACTGACTGCTCGAAAACTGTCATGAGAATAGACAATATATACTCCACAAATATAATTCTTCATTTTAATATTATTTATATTAAATATTTATTTTTAAATTGTTCAAAAGCTTCTAAACCAATATGAGGGTTGGAGAGTTCTCCTGTTCGAGTCCTATCGGTCATTAAAATGTTTTCACTAATTATTTTATAGTCTATTGTATTATTTCAGTCTATTGAACCTCTCAATAAATAAAAAAAAGAAAAAAAACCAAATTAAAAGATTCAACAATATTCAGGAAAATAAAAAATAAAATCTCAATTTGGACTGAAGGGAGCGTCCTAGTGGGCCTAGTATGTTCAGAATGAGCCCATAACTCCAACTTGTGTTTTTTTTGTTTTTACGATATTAGCTCGGTGGAATCCTGGCCCAATCAAAATAGAGTTTCGGTTCGTGTCAGTTCAAAACCAACTGCTTTCTCAAATACCGTCTTATGAATTAGTTTGGATGAGGAGACAAAGTAACAAGCATACTTTTGTTCGTGGCATGTTTACATCATTGTTCCTTGTTTCCGTCTATGTTTCTCAATGATTTATTATAAATATAATCTTATTTACTAAAAAAAAAAAAAACTTCTCCAACACGCTGCCGTTACATTGTGTCTTTTTTGTCAGTGCAACCGTGCAAAGCATTCTATCAGTAAGTGTTCCCCCCCACCGATCAAGCACCGCGACTCGGTTGGTTTCTGATATGGCTACAACCAACACTCATGCGGCTTCTGATGATGATCTCCCCTCACTCCTTTCGGAGCAGCGTCGCGAGCTCATGGCGGCGCAATCTCTCGAGTCTGACCTTGACTTGGCCTTCCGCCTCCAACTCCAAGAAGCCATCAACGCTTCCCTATCTCTTGTCCCTTCATCGTCAACATCACCACCACAATCCTCACCTTCTATTTTGATTGTGTCGGATCAAGACAGCAACGTTTCGGCCTCTCTTCCTTCTCTCCAAACCGAAGAAATTTCCAAGCTTGAACAAGAATTGAATGATCGGAAACAATCCGAACTGGAAATGCGGAGAATTAGAGAAGATCTTGACCGTCGAATGCACGATCAGAGAGTCGCACGTGAAATCTCGATGATTCCGGACGATGAGTGGCTCGAGTGGGGCGACGATTTCGAGAAACCATTCGGCGAAGGAAGCTCCAGAAGCATGGGGAACGATGATAGTGTATTCAAGTTGTATTTTAAGGGTTTGGTTAGCGAAGAGAATGTGGGGGGCAAGAAGGTAATTTTGGCTGGGATTGGAGTGGCAATTTGTGACCCAGTAGGTAATTTGGTGTTTGAGATAAGGAAGCCATTGGTCGGGAATGGGATGAGCAGGCAGGCTGCAGAGGCCAAGGCTTTAATTGAAGGGCTTAACGCGGCACTCGCTTTGGAGCTCAAGAGGATTTCAATTTACTGTGATTATTATCCACTATATAAATTTGTAAGTTCCTAAATTATTGTGCTTTTTGAATTTCATTGATTATGATGACATGGATTGAGCATACCATTTTTATATAATGCCTTTTGAACTTATTTTTACATGTTACTTTTAGGTAAAGTTTGATGCTTTGTTGTCTAGTAACTATCATTGATAATATTCTATCTGTGTGTTCCCAAATTTGGTTTCTTTGAATATCTGTGTTGGAATTTGAATAATTAGTTGAAGACACTGTTGCTGTGCGCCCCTTGTAAGCATTGGAAGAGCTAATGAACTAAAATCAGCACAATGACTGACTGACTTATGTATTTGAAAAGTTATGTTTGAAACAGTATTTATGATTATGGCTTCAATGAACTTAAGTTAGGAATTACTAGGAAATTGTTTCTAACTGAACAGGGATGCTTCTTTTTGATTCTAAATAAAAATTGAAATAAATTTAACTTTCCTAGTATTTGCCTATTTATCTCATATTTTTATGAGTTTTTTTTAGGAAAATGTTATTATGAGTTAGGTTTGCCTTTGTGTTTTATCAAATTTTTAAAACAATAAAAATGCTGCTTGATGTTATTTAGTGACCATTGGATCCACACTATGAGGTTGCCTTTTCTATTCTTCTCCATTTCATTTTTTGCCTGCTTAAGCTAAGGAGAATTTCTGCGATATTTTTCCTTTCTTATTTGTAGCCTCAAAAACGCTCTGTTGGCTTGTGCTTTCTTTATGAAGAATTCATTCTGACCCCTTTGCGTGTATTCGACATTGTTGTTTGATCTTTCAATGAATCTAAAATGCTTATCGTAAGTTTCTTTTTATATAATGCAGATTATTGGAAGATGGCCACCAAAGCAACGTAAGGTTGCAACATTAGTCAATCAGGTATCTCTTATTCAAAGAAAATTTACATATTGCATTCCAACTCTTGTGGCGCGAAATGATATCAAACATGCATTTAAACTTGCAAGAGATGCAATAGTTTCTCAGACGACAACACCTGCAGGATCAAGCCATGGCAAGAGAGTTCAGGAGACATGTGTTATCTGTTTAGAAGATACTGATGTTGAACGCATGTTTTCAGTTGATGGATGCAGGCACCGGTATTGTTTTTCTTGCATGAAACAGCATGTGGAAGTTAAGTTGCTTCATGGCATGGTACCTAAATGTCCTCACGAAGGCTGTAAGTCGGAGCTTAGAGTTAATTGCTGTGGAAAGTTCTTGACACCTAAATTACTTGAGACATTGAACCAAAGAATAGAAGAAGCTTCAATTCCTGTCACAGAGAAAGTTTATTGTCCTTATCCCAAGTGCTCAGCGTTAATGTCAAAAAATGAGGTTTCTGAATACGCCAAAAGTGCACTTGTTGGTTCTGATCGCTCTGGTGCTCGGAAATGCTTGAAGTGTCATGGCCTTTTCTGCATTAATTGCAAGGTCCCATGGCATAGTAATATGACATGTATTGTTTATAAAATGCGGCATCCTAACCCACATGCTGAAGATGCAAAGCTGAAGTCTCTTGCCTCAAGGAACCAATGGCGTCAGTGTGTGAAATGCAACCATATGATAGAACTTGCTGAAGGTTGTTATCACATGACTTGCAGGTGCTATACTTGCATTCCTTCCAAATTGATCTTTCCTACCAAATTTTGTGACAAAATTTTAGCACAAATAGGAATGTAGTTTAATGTTACCTGTGAAAGGAAGATTGCAGGATTTTCAGTGTTCAGTACAAGAATTCAGTAAAAATAAAAATAAAAAATGAATTAGTGGCCCATTTGCTGAGGCTTAGTAGACAAGATTCAAGAATTATGTTGTCATAGATGAACCTAAAACTAGCTCATGGAGGGAAAAATTGGGAGGATATTATGTGAGAATAAGATTAGTTTATATGCTAGAGTTGGTCCGTTGAGTCGGGAGGGTAGTGGCCTAGTGGGGTGTTGATTCTATTGAAGTTGGTCCTTCCCCAGCATTACTTCATATGCCGCCCCCCAGCATTACTTTCATATGCCGCCCCCCCCCCCCCCCCCCCCCCCCCCCCCCCCCGGGGTTAAGGCCATAGGCGCCAAATCCGGGGTTAAGGCATAGGGCCAAATTTGCTGCAACATATTGTGAAGTAAAAAACTGTTTTTGGATACTAATAAAACTTAAAAGCTGTGTTTAGCTGTTTTTTTTCTCTAAAATTAGTAGAGCTTCAGAACATATTTTGTTGTCTTATACTTTTGTTTATTGTGGATTCACTTTTCATTTTGATACATTTAGAAATCGCTTCACTTTGAAATCAATAATGCATATTTTATGCTTTTCTGCAGATGTGGGTTTCAGTTTTGCTATGTTTGTGGAGCTGAATGGAAGGACAAAAAGCCAACATGTTCATGTCGGCTCTGGGATGAGGATAACATTCTCCATGATGATGACGAGGAAGAAGAAGAAGAAGAATTATCTGATGATGATGAGTACTATGACTCTGACGAGGATCATCCCTGGTAACATGCAAGTAAAGGAAACCATAAACTACCTTGCTTTTTTCTCCAATCTTTTTGGAACACTATTTTGTGTATAGAGTTGGAAGACGTCAGAGTTGTTTAAACGATTTAGCTGGGGTTCTTTGCACATAACTAGCTTGTTCTTTGCCAGCTAGTTTCTTTTGTGGTTTACTTTATTTTGTTTTCACTGGTGCCTGTAATAGAAAGGAGAAGATGGTGAGAAAACACTTGGGCATTTCGCAATTGAGCTAATCAGCACAGTCACTAAGCCTCTGTTTGGGAAGGGACATTTGTTTGGAGGAAAATTTTAAATTGCATTATTTGGGCCTTGTTCGGTAATATTAATTATTCTAATAATTAATTATTACTTTACTAACTGTATATATGAAATAATTTTAAAAAGTTGAATTTATCAAATCCCAAATGTTAGAAGAGGTAGGAAAAATATAATTTAAAAAAAAAAGTTCAATTTATCATACCTTAAATGTTAAGAGAAATAAGAAAAAAATAATATAAGGCTTTGTTATTTTTCTTTTTTATTTGTCTTTGTTCATTAGTTTCCTCTGTCCCTTATCTTTCAATTATTGGAATTAAAAAGATCTTTTTTTGTTTTTAGTCAAGCAAGTTATCGTTGTTAGTTCTTATAACTTAAACAATATTTTTGACATTATAACAAAATAAAAATATTTCTTAAAATCTATAATATATATAAAAATATGAATAGGAGGGAAACATTAGGATAAAAAGCAATCCTATTAAATTTATGGATCGACAAAAATATCATTAATGATTTTAATTTTATTGATTAAAAAATAATGATAATTCAATTTTGATTGGTTATAATTATCTTAGATAAAATGAAATTGTACCATTATACTATAAAAAGTATATATCAAATACGGTAATATGATATATTCAAAGATTTTAATTTTATTGGTTAAAAAAATAAATGTCATTTAATTTTGGTTAGTTATATTAATTTTTATTTTAAATTTAAATTATATTGAATAAAATAAAAAATTATGTTATATACTGAATAAGGTATATATTAAATATATAAATAATATAATTTATTTAAAGATTTTAATTTTATTGGTTGAAAAATAAAGGTACCGTAAATTTGGTTGGATATATTAATTTTTCTAATTTAAATCTAGAATCTATTGGATAATAAAAGAAATTATCTTATATAGTAAACAATATATATATTAAATATGGTAAGAATATAAAAATTCAATTTGATAAAATAAGAAATTTGTCACGACCCGTTTCCGTGGGCCGGACCAGCACTAGGGCCTAGGTAAGCTTAAGACCAGCACTAGGCCTAGGTAAGCTTAAGACCCCCGAGGCCCGTAGTAAGCCTAAATTATTTCAATCTGCCTACATGATTTTCCTAATTTCAACAACAAGTAAGCCGCATTAGCCCATATGACTTAAGATATAAGTTTTATAAAATTTTCAAACATCTGACCCAATATCAAATAATACATAAAATTTAACCAGGGCCTATTCACAATAACAAATAATCACAATAAGGGCTTACTAGTTTACCTACAGTTAATTACACAATAATTAATTTATAGCGTAGTGCTAACAATAAACCCCAATTTAAATACACAACCCTATAATTGCGGAGTCCAAAAAAATCTGATAACAGAATAATTTATACATTCAAAATTAAATATCAAGAATATAAAGTTTACATTTGTAACTCTGCGGAGAAGGCGGAGAAGATTTGCAGAGCTTCAGTTGAATCAGCTGCTTCCTAGTACCTGGGAGGTTTTTTGGGCGGGGGGTGAGTTTTGCAATTCAGCGAATAATAATAAATAATATACATCACAAACAGTCACACAAATGCACCCTAGAATACTGAATGTACACACAACAGTCAATCATATGGCATCATATCAGCACCCACAAACAATATCACAATCAATGCACGTTGGAAATTATCAGTGGAGATCACCGAACCCCCCGATGAGCCGTCCCTCCCACATGGCTCATTCCCTCTCACGTGTGCACCAGAGAGCCGATTCCCCATACTGCCGACCCGTCTAATCCTCACTTGGACCAGCCTCTCATTGTTTTTCCATTCTCTCTTTTCTTTTCCATACCAGACAGGAGGTAATACCGATCGTCTCCTCAAATCTAAGATTCATCGGCGCTCACAACAGAGGCCCACCCTGCGCGGCTGCGATCAAATTCTACTGATTATCAGGTTTCGCCCAATAAAGAAACCAACTGTGTTTCCATATCAACAAGATCATAGCAGTAGGTGCACACGGGAGGCGCCGAATCTCCCATTTACCGGCCAAATTTCATATCATATTTCAGGATCCATATCAACATATACCATTCTCACAAACCCATGGTGACCCCACTTCATACCCAATTCCACACGAAACAAATACAGCATAGCCACAGCACAAAAATAATCAGGACAATGTCATTCATCATAATACACCAATTTCATCCAAAATGCACATATTATAATATAAGTAAAATTATAGTGATCGTAACATAAGTATATATGATAAAAGACCTTACATAATATATATGATAAAATACTTATAATATATTGTAAATATATAAATAAAAATATAAGATTTATAAATAAATGTTATGCAAATGCAGTGTTGATATGCATTATTTACTATTACTCACTGTGATGGAGAGCGAAATTCTAGCTTTGATGTTGTCCTGGAGGCGCACTAGATGGACCCAGGCGATCTAAGCAAAGTAAGAATGATACAAAAAGAAATAACTCTATCCGACTAAATATTCCTTTACCCTTCTAATATTTTTATTTTATATTCTAAATTTTTCTACGTAATTTAATCTTGATATTTAATTTCTTTTCTGTAATAAATTTCTATCTAACTTTATTTCATTTATTTTCTTCGGAAATCTATTTTATTTCCTACCGAAATCTATTTTGTTTTCTACCGAAATTTACTTTATTTTCTACCGAAATTTCGGCAACATTTCCCCTGAAAATTGGACTATCTACCTGTTAAAATATCAACAATATATCAATAATTCCAAACCACACGGCCCATCCATCGGGCAATCAATCAATTCAATTTGCAATCAATCAATTCAATTTTTCTCATCCTCCATCCGAATAACAATATCAACACTACATTCAACCTTAACATCACCCCCTACATCCATAATTTATAAATTAAAATTACATACAATATAATCTACCTTCAATCTACACTTAAATTCCATAAATTTTATTATTACCAAAATTTCCTAATAAATTACTGAATTTAATTTTTAAACTAAATATTATTTTTATTAATCAATAGATTACTCATATTAAATTAATCAATAACTATTTTGAATCATTTTAAACTTAAAAACTAAATAACTAAAATTATAACTAAATATTTATTATTTATCAATAAATTCAATACTATTTAAATAATTTAATTACTCAAGTAATTAAACTAATCAGTAGATCTAGGCCAAATTAAATAATCTTAACTAATCAAAATTTGCTAAATTAAATTATTACTCAAGATTATATGTAAATATATAAAAATGTAATGTTATGCAAATGCAGTGTTGACATGCATTATTTATTATTACTCACTGTGATGGAGAGCGAAATTCTAGCTTTCATGTTGTCCTGGAGGAGCACTAGATGGACCCGGGCGATCCCAAATATATTTTTTGTCGAATTTTTGCTAGATCGGAAATTTTCTCGTGTCGGATCGGAGAGCAGTGGCTATTGGTGGTCGGAGGCGTGCTGGAGCGGCGGCTAGGCGGTGGCGATGGCGCGACGAGCTGCGTGCGGTGGCTCTCGGTGGTCGATCGCCTCTGCTGGAGTTCCTGGGCAGTGTGATGCAAACGCAGGTGCAGGAAAGAAAGAAAGAAAAAAGAAAAGAAAAGAAAAGAAAAGAAAAGAAAGAAAGAAAGAAGAAGAAGAAGAAGAAGAAGAGAGGAGCGCTGCTTTGATGCGTGAGGAGAGAGGTGCAGCGCTGGAGATAAAAAAAGGAAAAGGGAATTTTCTAGATGGTTTGGGTCGAACGATTCGGATTCGGTTCGATTCGACCCAATTTTTTTGAGTTCGATTGGTTTCAGCTTTTTCAATCGGTTTTCGGTTTGATTTCCTCAACAGTGTTTGCATTAAAATATTGAAATTAAAATTTCCAGGCTGTCGGTTTATTAAATTTAATTGGAAAATCTTTTGAAAATAAAAATTCGGGGGTCACAGTGTTTGCATTAAAATATTGAAATAAATTTCCAGGCTGTCGGTTTATTAAATTTAATTGGAAAATCTTTGAAAATAAAAATTCGGGTTGTTTCAAAATTATATAATATATTAAATATGATAAAAATATAAGAATTCAATCCGATAAAATAAAAAAAATATATTATATATTTAAATAAAGTATAACGTATATGGTAAGAATATAAGAATTTAATTTGATTTTTTGATAATATTTTAATTGAACAAGTAATTAAATAATGAAAGTTCATCCTAATCTCATTTTCTGTTATTAAACTGTTTTTGATTTTTTTTTTTTTTTAATTTACTATAGCAGAATAAGCTTATTATTTTTAATTTGACAAACTAAAAATATATATTATAATTATTAAAAGCTATTTCACAAAAAATAATCATTTTTATTATAATAAACTTTCCCAATAAGGTCGAAATCCTTAATAAGATTTGCAAAACTTTTCAATTAAGATTTTTAATATAATAAATAATATATACTACTAGTGTTATAATTATTTTAGTAGAAAAACTTTAATATAGAATACTAAATTATAAACAATGTTTGGTTGAATTTTTTTCCTAAGATTTTGTTCGTTATAATCTTTGAATTTTAAAAATTTTATATGCACGGTATTGCAAAAATCTCGATGCATTCCCAAACCGTCTTGAATTTTCATATTGAGAAAAATTCAATATTAATTTATTAATATCATGAATTTTTTTTAGAAGTAATTACGGATGTTTCTGGTTCTTTGATTAAAACCACCCATGTAGACCCAAGTTCCGTCTCATCTATGCCAAGAATCCGGCGTTCCCTTTTCACTTCTTTTGTTAATTCTAATTGTCTTTTTTTTATGAATTTTAAATAATGTCGATAAAAATCATCTCATCCTTTTTATTTTTTAGTTTTTTTTATGACATTAATTATTACAATATAAAAAAGATATGCATTTTTTTGAATATAAAATATTAAATTAAACATATTTTTCATTATAGATTTTTCTTCCTTTATTTTACTGTGTGTGTGAAGTAAATCTTTCTGAATAAACTTTTGGGTGTAATTATTATAGTATATCTTTTTCATAATAATTAAGTCATTTTTTTGTGTTTATTTTGTCCCAAAATATAACTCGTTTTGAGTATTTCAAGAAATAATAAATAATATTTTTTCAATATTACCCCTTGCATTAAAACAATTACTATATTTACAAATAACTCTTGATTTGCGATAGGAGATAATTTAATCAAATTACTCTTAATTTTATTATAATTTAAGAGAATTAATTGCTTCCTTAATCTCTGTACAAAAATCTTAAGATGTTATAAAAAAATTAAAAATAAAAAAGATGAAATGTGATTTGAAATTCATAAAAACAAAGAGTTACCTAAAAATGAGAAGAGAATACTCAAATTTTGACAAGAGACAGAATGGAATGAAAATTGGATCAGTCCGCATGGATTTCAATAAAAATGGGTCTTCTCCTATAATTACTTTAGGAACGAGATTCCAAATGAAACTATTAAATTTGTCTCGGATGTTTTTTCGGGATTGGATATTGTTGGGAACGGATTGGAATTCTCGTGGCTCGGTGCACACCCTAGTAATTATACCGCCTGATTCAGAACCCGACCCGGCTGGTAATTAGGAAGGCCGAACTCTGAGCTAATCAGTTATTCTCAATGAGCGGTAAAGAAGAAAAAATTCTGTTCCGTTGCCAAATCCCGTTGTATCTTTTTGTCCTTTGCCTTCCCCAACAAGTTGTTTGTGCTTCTTTCTCCCTCCCTCTCCTTTCCTTTTATTTCCTTCCTCCTCTACTATATGTAAAACGCAGCCCTAAATGCCGATAAAGCGGAAGAGAGCTCACGTTCCAGTTCCAGAAACAGAAATGGGGATTGGCAATTCTACGGGGAAGCCTGTTCTCGACTTTAGTGAAGACTCTAAATGCCGATCAAGCGGAAGAGCGCTTTTAGTCTCCAAATGGAAGAAGCAGTAAATGCCTTTCTCTCCCTTCTCCCTTCTTCTATTTCGCATTCTCCGCCTAAGAGCCCTTACGTCGACATTTCTTTCTCCGAGAACGATGCCGGTTTGACTACATGGCTTTACTCTTAGAAGACATTGAGAGGTGGAATCAAGAGCATAGGGATCGTGAAACATGCGACGTTTTGATGAGAGAAATGAGAGAAGATCTTGACCGTCGGATTCACGATCAGAAACTGGCTAGTGAAATTTTGAGACTACCTGATGATACTGAATGGGAAAGGATGGTGTTACCTATCACAACCCGTATGTAGCCGAAAGTTGTTCTTCGTCTTCTTCGTTGACCAGTGACTTCGGGCTAGTGAATATTGAGAGCTTTAAAATGTACTGTAAGGGACTGGAGAGTGAAGAGATGATCAAGGAAAATAAGGTTATTGAGTGGGGTGGCCATTTGTGATTCGAGGGATAATGTTATTTTTGAGCTGAGTAAGGGTTTGGGGACTGATCGTAAAAGGAAAGGTAAGATTGGTGATGAGGCGGTGGAATTGGAAGCTTTGGTTAGAGGGTTAAATGCTGCTTTGGAATTGGTTAAAGAAAGTTACTTCCTTTTGTGATGGCTTTATGGTCTACAACCATGTGAATGTGCTTATCTGAACTCAAGCCTACATTTGCCCTTATAAAACTGATATAATCGAATTTGAATGTGACAATTTAGCTACTTCATGATCCCAGCTACTATTGAATTTAAATTTGAAAGCTTTGTCTTATATTGTGCTTTATTCTTATCATTCTAATTTTACTGATAACATGCCAATTGATGTGGGTGGTATCATCAAATTCTTGATTTTTTTATTATTTAATTTGGTACATTTTTATCCTGTAGGAAGCAATTTCTAATTAATTTTTTAGACTACTAGTGTTTTAGTTTTACCCATATTCTAATCAATCAATTTTGAAGCGGAGCTGCAAATTAATAAGCAGATTTTAGTGCAAGTAGCGCACAAACTCCATAACTTTCACTGTCATACAGGCACTAGTTGTCTAGATATACCGTCACATGAGCTAAATGCACAATATGTTGCTATTGAGATTTCGGGAATTATTTTCTTATTCATAAGGACGCTTGAATGCTGTTTAGATTTATATATCTTTTTGTCTTAGATTTTCAAAGCTTCAGCTTGGACTTATAACTTATCAAAATCTATTTGATGATCACTTCTATAATCTTATTGTAATAATAAGATTATTTGTTGCTATAAGTTTGTGATTGTTCCTGAACTGCCATGAGTGTTCTGTTGTACTGAAACTTCATCCGAGGCATTTAGGAAGCTTTATCAGAAAAACTAAGTTGTATTCCTTTTTTTGTTTCTATTCATTTGTAGATTTTAGATATTTCTCTTATGTTGAAGTTTTGCAGGATCTACACTATTTTATGGTTTAATATTTATCATACTTCTATATACAGGTAACAGGAAGAATTCTACCATTTCAAGATAGGCTTTCAACCCTCGTCAATCAGTTGTTTCTGATTCAAAAGAAATTTACAGAATGTAGGCCAAACCTGGTGGCACGTAAGGAAGTGAAGTTTGTACTTAAACTGGCAAGAGATGCTATGATTTCCAGATAACGTGATCTGCAGAAGCTGGCAAAGGTTAAAAGAGTCTGAAGGAAACTTGCGTAATTTGCTTTGAGGATAGAGATGTGGGTCAAATGTTTCAAGTTTCCAGGTGTTGCATAGATATTGCTTTTCTTGTATGAAACAGCATGTAGAAGTGAAGCTACTTAATGGGACGGGGGCTAAGTGTCCTCATGAAGGCTGTAAATCTGAATTGAGTATTGGAAGTTGTGGAAAATTCTTGGATCCAAAGTTAGTTGAAATCATGAGCCAGAAGAAAAAAGAAGCTTCTATCGCTGTCACGGACAAGGCTTATTGTCCATATTTGAAATGCTCGGCACTGATGTCAAAACGTGAAGTCCTCGAGTATACTAATGATTTCTTCGTTGGTGCTGAACAATCTGGAGCTAGGAAATGTATGAAATGCCATCACTTTTTCTGCATCAACTGCAAGGCCTCTTGGCACTATAATCAGACTTGCTATGGTTATAAAAGATATAACCCTAAGGCCCGTGCAGAAGATGCGATGCTTGACACCCTTGCAAAAGAGAATCGATGTCGCCAATGTGTGAAGTGTAGTCATATGGTTGAACTTGCTTCTGGTTGCTATCACATCACTTGCAGGTAATACATTTTTTGTCTGATTAATGCAAGTTGTGCTGTTTTGCTTTTTGACTAATCACATTCTCCATCTCACCAATAACAAGGGGGTTGGCGGGGTTGAAAGCAAGCTAATTTATTGCTTATCTATTGTATGCTTTGTTGTTTCAGATGTGGATATGAATTCTGTTATACTTGTGGAGCTTCATGCGAGAACAAGAAACCAACTTGTACCTGTCCAATCTGGGATGAGCTGAATATTATAGGCAATGTTTAACATGACTATAACTAGGATTTAGTTTATAGCTTGCTCCTCTTTGATCCTGAAAAAGAAACATGGAGAACTTCTTGCATGTGTTTCAAAAAGACTGAGCAAGATCAAAGTATCATACAAATACAAACAGGTTTCACTGTGTGTTAGCCTTTGGCTTTTTGTATAGTTTCAATATATAGCCTTTTGCTTTGGATGATGTTACATCCTGAGCTATAATTGATAAGATCTATAGAAATAGTATCATAATATTTATATAAATATATATAAATCCAAGCAAGTTTATTTATATGACGTGATATTGTGAAACTTAGTTGGTGATATGAAATTTTATTATTTTTAACAATTTTCATTTAATTATCTAATTTGTAAAACTTAAATTTGTAAACTTTTCATTTTCTTTATTTAATAATTAATAACCGTATAATAAATTTATTTCATTAATTTAGTTTCAATTATAATTTCATAGAATATGGACTAAAATAATTTCAAAAGTTGATTGGATAATCAAAATCTTAAATAGTACAAAAATAATGCACCATATGTTATAAATTAGATTCTTATTCAATAGTTGAAAGAAAAAAGACATCAGTTTTAATTTTTTGCAATTTACTCTTATAATTCTCATAAATTTACAATTTCAACATTATTGAAATTGAATCGTGAATTTTAATTAGAATTTCACCTTATTAGGACTTTGTTAGCATTTTTAGGACTGAATATGAATTTAGCACTTTTTTTAGGACTTGAGCCGTAACTAATAATGAATATAATTGTAATTGCTTTTCAAGTGTTTGGATGTAATTGAACTTATATATTTTATTTGTTTGTGATTAAATGATTAAAATAGAAATAATTTTTAAAAATCTCTTCATTGATTGGTTATGTAGTATATAAAATATAACTATACACCTATCATCCATAAATATTTTCAGCCCCTTGAAAAAAAAAAAAAAAAGCTCAATTAACTTTTTTTAATGTAGCATGTGTTTGTTCAATAAAATAAGTTACATGGATTTTAGCAGCTCTCAGTTGTTGTTTTATTATATAAATATATTAAATATATAATATATACCCATCATCCAAAAATATTTTCAGCACATATTCGATAATACAGGATCTGTTCTGTCGGTAATAAAATTAGATTTTAATAATTTGTAGCTGCTGTTTTTAACGGGGTTTAGCTGTTTGAGGAGGCATGCGCCGTCAAAACGGCTTAATCCCGGAGTTTCAGCATACACGTAACTTATCGGGCTCCTAAATAGGAATTCGGAACTCTCAGTTAATCCCCTTTCCATTAATGCCAAAGGAGAAACTAAACCGTATTACCAAATCCCATAGTGCTAACTCAACGTATTACTGTCAATTTTTAAGTACTTTTTGGCCTTCAACTTTCCTCTTTCCCTTTGCCCTTTCCAATTTCCTTGTATAAAACCCAGCCAAAAAATGCGAGAAAAGCGGAAGAGAGTCCACTTTCAAGTCCCAGAAATGAATGAAGGGATAGACAATTCTGAGCCTGAGCAATCCCACAAGGGAAAGCTTGTTCTCGACTCGAGCGAAGACTCTCTCGATTCCATACTTGACCTGCAACGCCGTGAAATCGCCGATGCCAAAACCCTGCACTCTGATCTCGACTCGAGCGAAGACTCTCTAGATTCCATACTTGACCTGCAACGCCGTGAACTCTCTAGATTCCATACTTGACCTGCAACGCCGTGAAATCGCCGATGCCAAAACCCTGCACTCTGATCTCGACTCGAGCGAAGACTCTCTAGATTCCATACTTGACCTGCAACGCCGTGAAATTGCCGACGCCAAAACCCTGCACTCTGATCTCGACTTAGCTTTTAATCTCCAAATGGAAGAAGCAGTGAATGCCTCTCTCTCTCTGTTTTCCTCTTCTAGTTCGTATTCTCCACATAAAGACTCCAATGTCGACGTTTCTTACTCCGAAAACGACGTCAGTTTCGACTATATGGCTTTACTCTTAGAAGACATTGAGAGGTGGGATCAAGAGAACAAGGACCGGGAAATGTGCAAACGATTGAGGAGAGAAATTAAAGAAGATCTGAATCGTCGGATTCACGACAAGGAAGTGGCTAGTGAAATTTTGAGAATATCTGATGATGAATGGGAAAAACACGGCGATAACTATCAGAAGCCATATGGAGCCCAAGAGGGTTGTTCTTCGTCTTCTTCGTTGGTTAGTGAGCTAGAACTTTTTAATAGTGAGGGCTTTAAAGTGTACTGTAAGGGACTGGAGAGTGAAGAGATGATTAAGGAAAATAAGGTTATTGTGGGTGGGGTTGGCGTGGCTATTTGTGATTCGAGGGATAATGTGATTTTTGAGTTGAGTAAGCGTTTGGAGGTTGGATATGGTGTTCATGATGAAGAGAAATGTAAGATTGGTGAACAGGCTGCGGAGATGGAGGCTTTGGTTGAAGGGTTAAATGCTGCTTTGGATTTGGATTTAAAGAACGTTACTTTCTTTTGCGATGACTTTATGGTCTACAATTATGTGAGTGTGTCCATAACAAATCGTTTGCCTCCATTTGACCGTTATTAAAGTGATATAATTGAATATGAATGGGCATCACCTTCATGCTTAAAATTTGAACTGGTAGCATTTCTTGTAGGTTTTTAGCAGTTGATTCAATGCTGGTGGCTCTCTGTGCGGCTTAGAAACTGAGTTGCTTATTATCCTACCTATTATTGAACTTAAAACTTCGAAAGCTTCATTTTAGGATGTGCTTTATTCTTATCTTTACTAATTTTAGGGGTAACATGTCATTGTTAGGTATGGTATCATCAGCGTCTTGATTTCTTTATTTAAATTGGTATTTTTTTTATCCAGTAGGTAATTAATTTCTAATTAATTTGGTAGACTAATAGTGTTTTTTGCCTGTATTCTAATCAATCTTTTTTGAAGCAAAGCGGCATATCCATAAGCAGGTTTCAATTCCAACTAAAGCTAAATGAGTATGAGTGAGATTACTTATTGGAACAAAATGTTTGTGTAGCATTAATTCTTTGCTTACAAATACTGTGAGAGAAATAATTTTCGATAATCTATTATCATCCTAGGAATTGTTAGATAGGATGGGAGTATGCTCCCTTGCTTACATTTGATTAGCACCCACCTCAATCTGAATAGCACGGAAACTCAATAATTTTCACTATCATACAGGCAGTAATTATCTAGATATCCTCCACTTAAGCTAAAATGATATTGAAATTTCAGGAACATTATATCCTCTTTCATATGAACAATTGAATGTGTTTTAGCTTTACATATTGTAGCTCATCTTTTATCTTAGGTTTCCAAAATTTCATCTTGGACTTAGAATTTGTTAACCTCTATTTGATAATCACTTCTGTTGTTAGTATTTTAATATTAAATTATTCTGTTGCTATAAGTTTGTGATTAGAGGTGGGCATTTGGTTCGGTTAACTGAAAATTGAACTGAACCAATCCAATTTGGTTTTTTATTTTTTTATTTTTTAATAACTTGGTTTTATTTGATTTTGAGTTTTATTAAATTTCAGTTACTTGGGAATACACACACGCATATATTAAATATATCTTTACATATTAAATTTTTTAAATTTTGATTAATTTGGTTATTTTGGTTTGATTTTTAAGTTATTTCTAGAATTTTGGTTTTATATAGAATTTTGTTCAGTTTGGTTCTGTTCAAACTGAATGCTCACACACATTTATGATTGTTCCTGAACTGCCATGGGTATTGTGTTGTATTGAAACTTCATCAGAGGCATTTAGGGAGCTTTATCTGAAAAGCTAAGTTGTATTCTTGTTCTCGTTTCTATTCATTTATAATTTTGGGATATTTCTCCTATGTTGAAGTTTTCCAGGATTTGGATTATTTTAATTTCTATCATACTACCGTATGTAGGTTACAGGGAGAGTTCAACTATTTCAAAGTAGGATTTCAACCTTGGTCAATCGGTTGTCTCTGCTTCAAAAAAAATTTGTAGAATGTAGGCCATCTCTGGTAGCACGTAATGAAGTGAAGTTTGCATTTAAACTGGCAAGAGATGCTATAATTTCCCAGATAACGTGGTCTGCAGAAGCTGGCAAAGGGAAAAAGAGTCTGAAGGAGACTTGCGTAATTTGCTTTGAGGATAGAGATGTGGGTCAAATGTTTCAAGTGTCCGGGTGTCTGCATAGATATTGCTTTTCTTGTATGAAACAGCATGTAGAAGTGAAGCTACTTAATGGGACGGGGGCTAAGTGTCCTCATGAAGGCTGTAAATCTGAATTGAGTATTGGAAGTTGTGGAAAATTCTTGGATCCAAAGTTAGTTGAAGTCATGAGCCAGAGGAAAAAAGAAGCTTCTATCGATGTTGCCGACAAGGTTTATTGTCCATATTTGAATTGCTCGGCACTAATGTCAAAACGTGAGGTCCTCGAGTATACTAATGATTTCTTCGTTGGTGCTGAACAATCTGGAGCTAGGAAATGTATGAAATGCCATCACTTTTTCTGCATCAACTGCAAGGCCTCTTGGCACCATAATCAGACTTGCTATGATTATAAAAGATATAACCCTAAGGTCCACGCAGAAGATGCGATGCTTGACTCCCTTGCAAAAGAGAATCGATGGCGCCAGTGTGTGAAGTGTAGCCATATGGTTGAACTTGCTTCTGGTTGCTATCACATCACTTGCAGGTAATACATTTTTTGTCTGATTAATGCAAGTTGTGCTGTTATTGATTTTTGACTAATCCCAATTTTGGGGTGGGGGGGTGGGTGGTGAAAGCAAGCTAATTTCCATTTATATTCAAGTAATACACTTGACAAGGTCTTCTATGAAGAGTCAAGCTAAGCTATTAGAGAATGTTATCTTGCTTTGTAAAGAAGCACCGACTCTGTTTTTGTCTCAATTTGTAATGATTTCTTTTGAGCTTTCATTTGGAGATTACATCATTGTTAACTAGATTCCTAGAGTCTCATTAGCTAAGCAGATAATTCCTTATATTTTATTTGGGAATAGAAAGTTAAAATTAATGAATTAATTAACTAAAGATTGTTTTGACTTTACTTGAGTTTCTCTTTTGTCCATAATTTATTGCTTACCTATTGTATGCTGTGCTTTTGCAGATGTGGATATGAATTCTGTTATATCTGCGGAGCTCCGTGGAAGAACAAGAAACCAACTTGTACCTGTCAAATCTGGGATGAGCGGAATATTATACACAATACACAAAGGCGATGATTATGGGTTTTGTTTAACATGACTATAACTAGGATTTTGTTTATAGCTGTTTTGCTCCTCCTTTTCCCACCGACTCTTTGATCTCGAAAAAGAAACTGGGAGAGCTTTATGCTTGTGTTTCAGAAAGACTGAGAAACAAATGCAAATAGGTTTCATAATGATACTGGATGCCACATTACCCTTGGGTTTTTGTCTAAATGTGTTTTGCCGTTTGCTTTTAGTTCAACTTCAGCTTGATGTGCTCTTCTAAGCCCTCATATATCTTGTTCTTTATCTAACTCCTTGAAGGAGTGTTCCAAGGCCTTTTTGAATCTCCAATATGTAGTTTTGAAGTGGGTGATAAGGTTACTACAATATGAGAGCACATCCTATTTAACTTCGTTATAGTCATCTACTTTAAAAAAATTATATTATCTTAATCTATTTATACTATATATAAATGTGAAAATAGGGAAAATAGTAAGATTTTTGATATAGCACCCAATAAAATTTAAAATATCTTAAAATAGTTTTAGTAGTAGCTAATTTAAAAATTACATTTTATACTAATGATTATTTTGATGGATGGTTAGACACTCTTCCTTAGGTGAGGTTGAGGATTTCGATTCTCATAGATCCCTTCTTGAGCCTACCTAATGTGAGTAGGTTTTAGTTCTAGCCCGGTGGGCTTGGGATTTTTGTTGTTAAGACGAAAAAAAAAATTACATTTTATTATTTGATTGGATATAACTTCTAAAAATTATTTTTAAATAAATATAATAAAAAAATATATACTTCTTTTTTTGTATGGTTGTAAGAAAAATTGTGGGTTTATTTTGAGAGGATATAACGTTTCTTTTATGTATTTTTTATTACTTAATTAACCTATTTATTTATTTTAAATTTGGAACTTAGAACAATAGAGAAATAAAATACTTGAATAAATTCATTAATTGACCAACAGTAGATCCTATTTATTTTTTATTACTTAATTAACCTATTTATTTATTTTAAATTTGCAACTTAGAACAATAGAGAAATAAAATACTTGAATAAATTCATTAATTGACCATCCCTATTTATTTTTTATTCTTAAAATTAACCTATATTTTTTATTACTTAATTAACCTATTTATTTATTTTAAATTTGCAACTTAGAACAATAGAGAAATAAAATACTTGAATAAATTCATTAATTGACCGACAGTAGATCCTAGCATGATTTGTTTTGTAATTTTCATTTATTGACTTGGCTTTTTTTTTTTTCATCAAAATCAAATTTAATTAAATTATAGCATTTTCAGGGTTATTTTTGAAATTCGAATTGATAATTTTTTTAATATAATTTATTTTTTATTATATGTTGAATTCTTAAAAGAGTTTTATTCTTAACAAAAAATTGTTATTTTTTTTCTTTTTCGTTATTGAATTAATTTGTAACCACTATCAGTTTAACTTAGTAAGAGATTTATATCTCCTTTGCAATAAATAGATGGCCTCCTGATTAAGTATTTTTTATTTTCTTAATTTTTTTTTATATCCTAAATATGTTTAACTTGAACGAAAATAGTGTTTATTAAATTGAAAAAAAACTAGAACTATATATTTCTTTTTTGGGTCAATTTCAAGAGTTTGTGCCTATGTTTATATATTCATTTCTCTAATGCACTGGGTAAGTAATAATATTATTACTATAGCCAAAAATGTTACCGTTATTAATTAAAGATCATCTTCTCATTTATTTTCTTTTACTTGCTTATAAGAAACATTATTATTATTTTTCGTTATAGCCTGCATATAGATATTGATTTTGGGATTAAGAGCAATAATGGAGATTGGAGTGATAAACTTTGGATTTTTTTGTTTTTTTTTTTTTCTGAGCAAGGGTTTTTAAAATTCTATATTTATAAATTAAAGATTGATATGATCAGGTATAGAGATTGGACTGAAACCTATTTTGAGAACCACTTCATTATATAAAAATTAGAATTCAAGTACATTAAAAAAATAGCATTGCAAATAGCTTATATGCGTAAAGGTTACAAATTAAACCAAATTGTTATTTGTTTTAATCTAAACAAAAACTTATGGTTTAATAATTATATAGATTAAAAAATAAAAGAGTATAAAAATGAAAATTATTAACGAGGCATTGTTCAAACGTGCAACGCACGTGCATAAAAAAGACTAGTACTATATATAAAAGTGCGGAATAGGGAGGTAATAATGAATTCTCCAATAATGCCTTAATGAAATTCTAAAATGCTTCTAAATTATGAGGACCAATTAAATTTTATTTTTTGGATATTATGCTTAATAGATAATTAACATTAACTATATATTAATAAAATATATTTTATTTTTAATTATTTTTAATGTTATATAAATAAGGCTATACATGAAAATTTAAAAAAAATGTATTTACGTATATATGGTTTTTAATTTTATTCAATTTAGCAATTAAATTTAAATTAAATGTTAGAGCTAAATACATATTACATACTTAACGTATTTATTATATACATTATTTTTGCTCTCTTTAACTTAATAGATAATAAAATAAATTTATAATTTATAATCTACATGCATGTGGAAATAGATGAGGGACTTATGAGATTTTCTAAAGTAGCCTTAGTTTAATTTGGAATTTCTAATATATCATTTTAATTAATTTTTATGCATTTTAATCGGAAAAAATAAGTCAGTTATCCTTTTGAAGATCCTTTTTAGTTGTATTTTTTATGCCTTTTAATTGAAAAATATAGATTTCATTTATATTTTTGAATATCCTTTTAGTTAGATTTTTGTGTATTTTATTTCGAAAATATATAAATATATATATAGTATACTATATATATATATATTAGATATATATATATTATATATATTCTCTATTTGATTTTATAATATTGTTGTCTAATGATTTTTATTAATTAATATTTTTTTGTATATTCTTAAGTCATATGTTTATATATTCTCTATTTGATTTTATAATATTGTTGTCTAATGATTTTTATAATTAATATTTTTTTTATATTCTTAATCATATGTTCTCATGTTATATTGCTTTTTATGAGGCAAATCGAAAATCTTAATTCAACTGTTGAAAATAGAATATAAATTCTATTAATTTATTATGTTTTAAATTTTTTAAAATAGGATGAAATACTTTATTATTAGACTATATTAGTTAATTACAAAGAAATTAAAATAAAATCTTTTTAAATATATTATTTCTCTTTAATTTTTTTTTTGAAAGGATGGTGTACACTTATTTGAATCATTTACATATTATTATATTTTAAAATTTTTTAAAATTGACATGAAGTATGAAATTATAGTATTTGACTAACATAAAAAAAAAAAAGAGACTTTTTCTTTTTAAGTCTAATGGCATCTCTTGAAAAAATAGGCCATAAATGTTTGAATTTGCTATTATTTTTATTTTCAATTTTTCTATATTAAAAATAAAACAAAGAGAAAATTCAAGAGCTCTATTTTTATTCAATATTTTATTCTTTTATTTTTGAAATTTATAGATTATTTAATTTTTCTTTGACTTAATTAGATATGTTTTTAAATTTTTTTAAATAGATATAAAAATAATTAGATCTTTAAAATTTTAATACTTTTTCAAATATTTTTTATATATGACGTTATGAGATTTGAATTTAATCTCATTTATATCTTCTTTAAACTTAATAAAGTATGTTCCACCGCTAATATTATTGTTTATAACTTTACATATTGATTCCCATATGGTGCTGAGAACTTTAAGCAATTTATTTTTGGATTTTGTACAAAGATATGGTCCAAATTATTACATATTATTGATAAACTTTCAACTTAACTTAATTTGACGAAAATAATTGATGTAGAGATTAAAGTCATATCTTATACTGTGATTATGCAAAGTAAGCCTTGATGTATTAAATTAATGTTATAGCATCGCTAAATTATAGAATATAACGCAGTATAATATTTGTAGTAATTTTATATAATTAATTAACAATAAAAAGATATTTTTTTTATTAAATGGAGAAACAAAAACATCATTTTTTTCAATTAGATATTACAGTACAAGACAATGTTACAAAATTTCATTGTATATATAAAACGCAACATTAATTAATCATTGTATTTGTCTTAATCGAAATAATAATTTATATTTTAATATTACATAAATAACAAAATTAAACGAGTACATAATGAGTAAAGTCAACGTGCAATACGCGTCATAAAAAACCAGTAAATTTTAAAAATATCAACATTACTCTATTTTTAATAAATTTTTAGAGTCTATTTCGTATAAATTAATATAAAATTTTGAATTTGTAAGTTTATTTTCATATTTTGTATGTTTAATTTAAAACATGTAATTTCAATCAAATTTCGTTTAATTATTTTTAGAATAAATTTAAAATAAAAAATTTATTTGGTTTTATTTCCTAAAATACTTTTATCATGATAATTTTATGAAAAGTGAAAAAATAATAAATAATAGTTTCATTCCAATGGAATAAATTGTTCTTATTTATAAGGGCAAAATATTTAATTTGATAGAAAGACTCGATAATATAAAAAATAAAATTTTTGAATATTTTTATTAAATATAATTAATTTATAAATTCAATAAATATATTTTAAGTCAAAAGTCTAAACCAAACATACTAGAGTTGATCCGTAAGTAATTGCTCTGTCTATGAGAATCGAATTCTTAACCCTTAACCTCCCTTAAAAGAGAAGAATTCCAAACCATTTATCCAGTGTTGGTAATAACTTTTTTTTTTTTTTTGGTTCATGATGATGTTATTTTGTTATTATTACTCGTGATAAAGTGAATAATAATCTATCTCTCTGTACTATATATAAATATGAGAATAGAGAGGAATAATGAGATTTTCAATATCACCCTTAATGAAATTTAGAATATCCTAAAATAGTCTTAGTCGTAGCCAATTCAAAATTACATTTTATATTAATGATTGTTTGGATGAGTGGTTTAATATTCTTCTCCCTTAAGTGAGATCGAGGATTCGATCCTCATGGATTGAGTAAATACTACGAGTGTTTGGATGAGTTGTTGACACTATTTTCACTTAAGTGAGTTCCAGAGTTCGATTCTCATGGATAGAATAAATACTACGAATATTTGGATGAGTTGTTCGACACTCTTCTCGCTTAAGTGAGGTTAAGGGCCTTAAATGAGGTCAAAGGTTCGATCCTCATGAATGGAGTAAATACTAGTTATGAGCACTTTACCTCTTCTTGAGCTAATCCTGTGTGAGTGAGATTTAGTTTTAGCCAAGTAGGCTTGAGATATTTATGTTAAGACAAAAAAATATATATATATTATCTGATTGGATATAATTTCTAAAAATTATTTTTTAAATAAATACATATAGATAATAAAAATATATTATCTGATGGATATAGATTGGATATAATTTCTAAAAATTATTTTTTAAATAAATACATATAGATAATAAAAAAGAAAAAAGTATACTTTTTTTTTTTTGTATTGTTGTAGGGAAAATTGAGAGTTTATTCAGTGAGGATAGAATATTTCTTCTATGTAATATTTTTTTATTAATTAATTAACTTATTTATTAATGAATTTTAAATTTGCAATTTAGAAAAATAGAGGAGCAAAATTATAATATAGCATTATTTGCTTTGTAATTTTCATTTATTGACTTGGCTATATATTTTTTTCTTTTGTCTATCAACATCAAATTTCATTAAAGTTTAGCATTTTCAGTTAAAGAAGGGATTGATTTTTGAAATTCAAATTGGTAATTTTTTTTAATATAATTTGTTTCTTATTATATGTCGAGTTATGAAAAGGATCATATTCTTAATAATAATTTTTTATCTTTTATTTTCTTTTTTTGTCACTGAATTAATTTATAATTACTGTCACTTTAATTTAGTAAGAGATTTATATCTCACTTGCAATAAATAGATGACCTCTTGATGATTTAAAATTTTTAATTTTCTTAATATTTTTTCTATTATATTCTAAATTTATTTGACTTGAAAAAATATAGTGTTTATAAAACTAGAGAAAAAACTAGAACTATATAAGCTAATGAAATTACCCGCACTTTGTTGCGGCCTTCGTCTTTAATATTTTTTTATTTAAAATTAATTTTATTAATATAATTATTAATTTTATTGATACGATTGCTATTTATTGTGTACTCAAAATTTATATATATATTTTTTATGGAAAAAATATATTCATGTTTATAAAATTTTTTGTTTACTATTTTTATTATAAAAATTATTTAAATTTTATGCAAAAGATTCAATTTTATTTTTAGATTTTTGGAGTATTTTCCTTTCAAAGAAAAAACCATTGTATTTATTGTGTACTCAAATTTTTATATATATTTTTATGGAAAAATATATTCATTTTATAAATTTTTTTGTTTTACTATTTTTTATTATAAAAATTATTAAATTTTATGCAAAAGATTCATTTTTATTCTTTTAGATTTTTGGAGTTTTTCCTTTCAAAGAAAAAACCATTGGTATTTTAACTATCAAGAAATTTTTTTTTGAAAAAATTAAGATTACTTATCATAATTTTTCCATATATACTTTTATCATTGAACAAATACATAGAATATATAGAAATTCAAAAAAATTAGTGCTAAGTAAGTATTTTAATTTGCTTAATATTATAGTTGCGAAGAAATATAAAAATGCTAAAGCAATTATTTGGTGAATTGGATAGTTTTTAAAATAAATTGCTATAACTTTTTAATTATATATCTTTAAAGTAAGTTTAGTGATAAATTATTTGTAATTATCACAAATTTCAAATTTACAATGCTAAATATCAAAGAAGTAAGTATGTAGTCACTGAGTGTTAAAAAGACATTAAAACAAAATTGTGATGATAAAATATCAAAAATAAGTAGGGGTAAAATCGTAAAAACGGAAGCTAAAACATAGTTTGTACGTTGTTGTTCTACAGTGTGCCATTCGAGCTGCTAGCAGATGAAAAATAACTTTTAGTATAGGACAAAATGGCAAAAGCATGAAAAAAGACATGATTTTATTGGAATAACACTGTTCTATGAACATTGTTTTTGGGTTTCATTTTAGTGTGTATATATATATACATATATGATATTTATGTATTTGGTCACTTTTTGAGGTTTTAAAAATTTACGTGTACATGCATATATTCCTTTCTTTAATGCACTGGATAAATAATATTGTAACAATACCCAGAATAATTATCATTATCAATTTAGATCATCTGTTCATTTTTTTTCCTTATTAAAGTAAAAAATAATTTATTATTATTTTTCATTATAGTTGTACATAGATATTAATTTGTAGTTGAGGACAGTAGGTTAGAGATTGATGATGACTTGATTTTTTTTTTTGGAAACTTATTAAGGCTTTAATAATCTGGATTTATAAATTAGAGACTGAAGGACTAAATATAGGAATTGAGTTTAATTTTATTTTGAGACCACTTCATTATAAATAAAATAAAATTAAATATATAAAAAGTAGTATTGGAAGTAGTTTTTACGATACAGTTCAATACAAATTAAGCATTACTTTATTTTAATTTAAATAAAAATTTATATTTTAATATTATATAAACAAAAAATTAAAAGAGTATAAATATAAATCGAGCACAGTGAAGGTGCAGAAGCACGTCAAAAAAAGAGACCAGTAATAACAAATGAATTTACTAGTAAGATTAGATGGGCCGGTTTAGTGGTGCTGGATCCAAGTTCAAACCGTTGTATAAGCTCTCCGCATTTTTATGGATGGAATCCGGAAGCCCAAACTTGTGTTTCATACATATGCACTTTGTAGTGCATGGAGCAAAATTCGGCGTGCACGTATAAAAAACCAACATTAAAAACTGAAAATTTCTAAAACCAGAAAGAGCAGGATAGTGCTCTTATTCATTTCAGATCTCAGTCAGTTCCATCGGGTAACCACAGAACACGAACAGAGAGAGGCAAGAGAAAAGACGATGAGTGGGACGGTAAAGAAGATAACAGATGTGGCTTTCAAGGCATCACGGAACATAGATTGGGATGGTATGGCCAAGCTTCTTGTCTCTGACGAGGCTCGCAAGGAGTTCAACAATCTCCGCCGCGCTTTCGACGAAGTCAATTCTCAGCTCGAAACCAAATTCAGTCAGGTCTACTTCTTCCCTCCTCTCTCTCAATCTAAATTTTTAGGGTTTGATTTTTTAGTAATGATAAGTTTAGATCTGCGTTCTCTCTATAATTAGGGTTTCGTGGAACAAGTTTGTTGGATCTAAGTTTTTGTCGTATATAGTATTGCAAATTTGTATGTGCCGTTTCTTTTGTGATCGGATGGCAACAAGTTAAATTCTGGCTTAGATTACTTTGAGCTACGAGTTCCTTTCATTTTCCAAATATTTGTTAAAGGGAAAAGCTAAGCCACCAAGTGCCAACTAATTCTGTAATTGTTTGAGGATCATCAGGGAAATATTTTATGAGCTGACCTTGGTATTCAATATGCATTTATTTGGGATTTAATGCTTCTATTGAGCATTAGCTTTTGCACTTGGGTATGCTTACCATTTTGAATTCAATGGTCCAATCAATATGTTGTTTAAGCAATACAATTCATGCAATTATTCTAGTGAAATATGATACTAGTTACTTTTGCTGGTAGGAAATGTTCATTAAGGGTTTAAATGTGGTTAATTAGATAGGGATACATGATCATTTCCTCCGTGTATTTAACAAAATATGCATTAATGTCTTCTTCCACTTTTAAAATTTGAACAAATTTATTCCTCTGTTAGTATCCTTTTGGTTTATTTGTTTCTCATATGCAGGTGATAGGTTACATTGCTTTTATGATTTGTGGCCAGCATAATTGTTTGGACCACGACTGCAATAAATTTTTGCAGTTTCTTGTGAATTTCTTTTTATTATCAATCTTTTGAACATGGTTATAAAGTATGCTAGTATCGTTGTTTGTCCATTGGCCTGTTTATTTTATGTATTTGTTGGTTTATTACTAATTCATTTATTTCCAATTGAAGATATATATTGTTTAATGACATTGCAGATTGGCATGAAATATGTTTTCATTGATTAAAAATTGATAAGTAGTTATTTTTGCTCTAAATTATGCAGGAACCTGAACCCATAAACTGGGAGCATTATAGGAAGGAAATTGGTCCTCGCTTGGTTGATGTGTACAAGGAAGCCTATGAGAGTATGTTTCTACATTCTTTAATTGTGGTTGTGGATTTTTTTTCTTATTTTTTTACTTCTGTAAGTAGTACCTATGCTATTTGCATCAGCGACTGAAAGTCTTTTGAATAGGAAGCCACTGGAAGTAGAGTTCTGCCTTGGCTTTAGGAGATTACTTTTCCTAATTCCTGGTCAAAATTAGGGAAACCTTTAGATTTTTGTTGAACATAAGTTCTTTTTTGCAAAAGTAGGTGCTGCAGGAATTTGTATTAAAGCTTCTCTTAATGGTATATAACTTTAATGTATTTGAAGCTGTGGTGCTTTAAGCCTAAAACTATGCTTTGCACATATTAGTATTTTCTGCCATGGAAATTCTGGACCTGTGTTGTGGATGAAAATGTTGGTCAAAGTGCTCTTTCATGCTAATTCAGCTTTGTATTATTGTGTATTGCTTTGCAGGCATTGAGATACCCAAGTATGTTGACACTATCACACCTCAATACAAACCAAAGTTTGACTCTCTGGTGAGGATTGGAGAGATGATATTCATTTTCAATTTCTGTGACCCCATTTGTTGGGGAAATGCTTGACAGAAACTATCTCACACAATTACACGCACAGAGGAATACACGGAACATAGGTTCTGTAAAATGAACCTTCAAAGGGTTGTGTTTGTTATTGATTTCTTTGGTACATATAGATAGAGATATAACTATTGGGTTTTGATTTCAAAACTAGATTTTGACCATTCATGCTTATCTCTGCACCTAAACTAAGCTATAACTAGCTGAGTAATACACACAATCTAAAGCCCATACCTGTCACCTAACTTGACTAACAAACTTTCTGTAACAACAAGCTTTATAGCATAAAACAAAATACAATTTCCTATGTAAAATTCGAACTAGTTAAAATATCTTGACTCAAATCCTGTAGCTCCAACACTTCTTGAGATTTTTGTTGGAGGATTTTAGCCTGTGCTTTCATTTTAATTTTTGCTTGTCCTTTTCCTTTTTTCTTAGAGCATCTTTCTCATCTAATGTAGACTTTATTGGTCTTTTTTTTTTTTTTTTTGTTTTTCTTAAGCATCTTTTCTCATCTTAATGTAGGACTTTTATTGGTCTTTTTTTTTTTTTTTTTTGGACCTATCTCGCCAATAGAAACTTCCCTTTTTTTTTTTTTTTTTTTGGACCTCTCGCCAATAGAAACTCCCACCTGAAAGTAATTCCCTTAATAGTTTCCAAAGTTTCATCAAGTTTCTTTCTGCTAGATCTTTTTTTGCAACAAAACATACTTTTATAGTGGCTCTTGCTCCTCAACGACAATTTTCTTATGGCAGTTGTTGGATATGCTTTGGTCCTTCAACAATTTTTAGACGTCTCGGGTTTTCTTCAACAATTTTTTCTAGCTTATAGACATGTACGTCATTCAACATTTTTTTTGCTGCTTCAGGACATGGCATGGGTCCTCTTCAACAACTTTTGTAGTTTTGGGACATGCCAGGGTCCTCCTCAGGTTATGGACATGCTGGTCCTCTCTAGATCTTTACTTCCAAATGCCGAAAAAACAAATTTCTCACCTCGAAAATATGTGGAATTTAAAGAAAAAAGTTCAGACTTGATGGGCATGCTTCATTTTAAACCAAAGATTTGTTTTCACTTTCAAAACCACACTTATTTTCTCCGAAATACTTTTTTTTTTCCCTTTCACCCAGAAGCCATTTAAGACCATCCAAAGCTTTGATACCATGTTGGAGACTGGATGGCAGAAAAACTACCTTACAAAGCTCGCACACACACAAAAACACACATTACAGATTCTGTAAAATGAACCTTCAAGGGTGTGTTTCTCATTGATTTCTTTGGGACACTTACATAAAGATGATAGCTATAGGATTTTGATCGCAAAAGTGGGTTTCAGCCATTTCTAACCCCACTTATCTTTGCACCTTAACTAAGCGGTACCTGGCGGACCAAAATGCACAATCTAAAGCCTCTACTTGCTGCCTAACACCACTAACAGACTTGCTGTAACAACAGAAAACAAAATACAATTTTCCATCCAAAGTTCAGACTAACTAAAAGTATCTCAACAAATAGCTCACAGCTCCAACATCATCACTTGCTCCTTTAGCTTCTTTGGAACTTTCCCGAGGCTGAAGGATCTGCTACTACTACTCTGTAATTTTCTTGAAGCAACTATGAAGATAATCTAGCTTAACTTGCTTAGAAATATAAATTTAAATGCTCAATAGAGTTGGTTTTTCTGATTTTCCGTGCTATCATACTTGTGCAAATGATGTTCAAAAAACTTATGTTTCATTTCTTTTAACCATCTAATGAAGTCGAATTGTCTTGAGCTCAGTTGGTGGAACTAAAGGAAGCAGAGGAAAAATCTCTTAAGGAGTCTGAAAGATTAGAAAAAGAAATTGCAGAAGTCCAAGAGTTGAAGGTGATGAATTACTGCTTCATTTCTCCTCTCTTATTTTGTCTTATGTCAAAAATTTCAATGGTCTATTTTCTCATGGGATTTATTGTCAAATTAACAGCAAAAGATCAGTACCATGACTGCTGATGAATACTTCGAGAAGCATCCTGAGTTAAAGAAGAAGTTCGATGATGAAATCCGCAATGATTATTGGGGTTATTGATTTCAGGTCTGTGCATTAGTCATGGGGAGCTTGAAAATGAAGTTTCAGTTTGTCCAAAATATCATGGGCACCGAATAAAAAAAAAAAAAACACCAGAGTATCTTTCTGATTTTGGTTGTCTGGTCTTTTTGGATGCACCAAGTTGAATATACTTGGGTTTTGACTCCATGAAATGCTCAATTAATAGATATTGGGAAAGCATGAACAAGCTTTGCATTGTTACATTTTTGAGTTCAATTAATTGGTTTTGTTGCCCTCCTTTGCGTTTTTAATTTGAGTTGAATTATAAATTGGCAACCATTAATGAGGATACAACACGGAAGCAACAAGGATTAATTGCTGCATGGAATTTACCAGCAAACATGTAAAACAGAGGAGAGACTGTATATTCATGAAATGAATGGTTGCACAGTAGAATTTTATATTCCATTTCTAAGCTTTGAAATCAAAATTGACCTAGAATTGGATTCCAAATCAACTAAACTAAAATTAGTACAACGAACCCTTAGTACACATTTTCCGTATTCAACCTTACAACTTGTTCCTTTTGTTAATTTTAATGCGCTCAATCGAAGACCTCAATTAAATTTTGGGTCAGCTATGGAAAATTTTTAACACAAACTAATAAACTGCTGGGTGCTAAGAAACTGGTTTTTCTAGGGCTGTCTTTCATTTCTTATTGAGATTTCCAAAAACAAAGTTGATTATTAGACTCTATAAAACAAATAATAAAATTTATATATTGTGTGAGTCTTGTTTACAGTCATCGAGAAATTAGCTTATTTTTCATGATCGCACACTGTTTGTGAAAATTTTAATTATTGTGATTTTATTAATGAATATGTTTCGTACTTCCCTATCTAATTTGATATTAATAACATATTGCATGTGCCCTAATTTTCACTAAAACAATTAATTATGGATACTAATGTAATCCTAACAGCCAACTTCTGCGGTGCTTCAATTATGCACAGGACCAGTGGAGCGGCCATGTGCGGCAATAACATAGCCAGATATTCTTCTGCTGGCGTTATTTTGTTGACAAGTGAAGCATCTGAAATATTTACCCACAGATGTTAGTTGAGGCGGTAAGCATCTGAAATATTTACCCATTTATTATTTATAGACGATTTTTTATTTCAACTCTTTATTTGTTTCTATATATTTCTTTGATATTTGGAGCATTTGAAAAATCAATTAACGAAAAATGATATTCAAATTAAAAAAAAAAAAAAGATCATTTTCCATGTAGTTTTCTTTAAAATATTTATCAAAATATAAAAGCAATATTATTATTCATTATTTATAATAACATCAACGAAGGAGCTTTCCTTATAAAGTACTTATCACAGAGTATAGATTCTCTATTGACAATGATGCACAAAAGACGCAACGCCACGCAACGCAAAAGGTCTGTACCTCAAAACGACTGCGTTAGTTACTACTGTTGTGCACGTCCCGCCGCTAACAGCCAACACCATATTCTCTCTCTTACATTTGCATGCTTTTTTGCCACATGGCTTAACATTGTCCGTCATCTTCAATCACCCATTTTTTTTTGTTGCATATTAGAATACAGAGTTATCTAGCTTCCTTCCGTGTATCCATGTACCAAATTAATTAAATTGTTTTTAGCAAAATCTATAAACAACTCTCTATATTTTAGAGAAAAAATCTTGCAGCATTGCAAATTTTGTGAGTCACCTGTTATATTCGTAAAACTACGAATTTTGCTAATAAAATATTATTTTAAATATTAGTAGTAATATTTTTTTGTGTTTTTGATATTTATATGCAAGATATTTACTTAATGTGTGATGAGTATAATCTTCAGGATAATAATTTTCACTTATTAAATAAGTGCTTTATAGATTTAATTTTAGAAATTTGAGTATTCGATAGAATAATTTTATAAATTAAAGTATTTAATTTATTGTTTTATTAATTGAAGTGCGTATCAATGTAAAAATTAAGGGTGCCACTGTAAAGTGCAAAAGTGAACATTTTAAATATTAGCAATAATATTTTGTATTTGTGTTTTTGATATTTATATGTAAGATATTCACTTAATGTGCGATGAGTATAATCTTGAGGATAATAATTTTCACATTTTCAACTATTAAATAAGTGCTTTATAAATTTAATTTTAAAAATTTAAATATTTAAAAGAATAATTTTATAAATTAAAATATTTAATTTATCGTTTTATTAATTGAAGTGCGTATATGTAAAATTAAGGGTGCCACTGTAAAATGCAAAGGTAAATTTAAGCAGAGCCAAATTTTTTTAAAAATTATTATTATTATTTTATTTTTTTATTACAGTAAATAATTAAAAAACACTCATTTTAATTAAAAATTAAATTAATTTTTTATTGATTTGGTTAATGGATAGGTGGATACACCGTGTGGATAAGTGAATGAGAAATGATTGACTGATTGATTTCCTATTTCCAACAACCACACTCCTCTACCAAACTGATACAGTAAACCACCACTCCACCACCAAATAAAAACCACAGAGTGAGAGAGAAAGAAAAGAGGCTGTAAATTCATTAAATTGTCAGTGCGTAAGTCTGTCACTCTCAAATCTCAATACACCAAAAAGGCACTCCGCTGTCTTCCAATTTTCATAACCAAAATCTTTTATGCCTTTTTTTTATTTTTTATTTTCTTCTTGTCAGTCTTTTCTATGTAACTGCACTTAATTCAGATCCCAAAAATTCCTCTTTTCTTCAACTGCCTTTTTTTTTTTTTTCCTGCCTTTACTAGACATTTTCCTTGATATTGCTTCCAATGTTATATCTTCTAGATTGACCCTTTTATAACTATTTTCCTCCATATCCTCAAAGCTTCTTTTTTAAGTCTTATTGTTGACAAAGTTCCATTTTTTTCCTGTGGGTCAAGTTTGTTTTTGATAAAGTTCTTTTTTTTTCTCAAAAGGGGTTCAGCTTTACTAGTCTTTGGAGTAAGTAATGGATACAGATCAAGATGGGTATCCAACATTTGCAGAGGGCAGGGAAACTAGGTACTCCAGTGCCCGAACTGGAAATGGAGTTGGCAAAGATTATGGGGGTGATCATCCTGAGATGGGTTTTCAAGACCAAGTTAGAGAGTTCTTGAAAGGGGCGGGTGAATTGAGTGTACAATTTGCTAAAGGGTGCAGGGACGTAGTGGTGCAAAGTCTAGGGAGAGAGGATTCCTTTATTGTGAAGAATTTTGGGGGAAATTCTTATATTGGGAAGAAAGTTGGGCGTGGGTATGAAAGGGTTTGTAAGAAATTAACTGGGTTCAATGAGTACTTGCCTGAAGATAAGGATCCAGTGCATGCTTGGTCAGTGATATGTATTGTCTCTGTTCTTGCTTTTGCAGGTAATAAAAGTTAATATTTGCCGTTTGGGTTGCTTTTGCATTTATTTCATATGTTCGTTGGTGAGGAAAAGAAGAAATAACGTGAATTTTCTTGTTTTGCCGAATGGGTTATGATTTCATTTATCCATTATGCTTCCTGTAATTGCTTGCAAATATAGGGAACACGAGACTGGTTGTTGAGTTCATTGATGCATTCTGTTCTTTTTTCTTTGTTAGATTAGAATTTACTTTTGTGGGTAAGAAAAATTAAGAGAAGAAATTAGTCATAATTCAATGTCCAACTTTGTCTTATGTGATTTTGGATTTGGAAACCAAAAGTTTTCTCTTGTACTTGAACTACTGTTTCAATTAATTATGTTTCTATTTTTATAGCATTACTGCGGGTGTTACTAACTATTACCAGTATTGGGTGTTAATTGCGGGTAGATTTAATGTTAATCAAGTGTATGAGCCATGGGAGGTACTGCTCTAGAACACATTTGTGGGCAACGGTTTCTAAATTTGTTATTCAAGGTTCGTAGCTTTGTTTTTTGTTTTGCTTGTTAAATGAAAACTAAGCTGCTTCTTATGAACGGCCAAATGCTGTAGAGTCTAGAATCATTGCAATCTATCGCAGTAACTGAATATAATATAGATATAGGTTAATAGATCTAAATAGGAATTTCAGACAGTAGATGTTGAACTATTTAGTCTTTCTAAATCGAACCTATGCACAACTCTTGTGTTAACTTAGCATGTCCTATAAGAGCATCTGGTTTAATGTACATGTAAAATGGTCAGGGCAGGTTAAATAGGGAGGAAAACATGTAATATCAAAAATTTGCCTTTTTATATTTTTATGGAGATTGAGACTTTACAGACACTTTACAGACAATTTGTGGGGAATCAAGGGGTGAGTTGACTCTTTGCCACTGACACAGGAGAAGGTAAAGGGTGCCTTCCTAAAAGAATCGGACAGATGGCGTCTTATTTCCAACTTCTGCCTCCATGCATGAGTGATCTTGTGGAAAAAGTTTAGCGAAATTGACTATTTTGTTTTATCAAAGTTTCAATTGAATTTATCAATATCTTACTGTCTAATCCAAAGATGTCAAACTTTTGTTTTCACTGTAATGATATTCTGATTTTGATATTTGACTACAATCTTGCGATGTTGGTCTATGATGGTGTCCAGGCATAATAAATAACTATTTTGTTTGTTAAACATATTCCTGAGAGGCAAATAATAACTAAAAAATTTAAATGATACATTACACTCTTTCTGGATGTCTTGTTTTCTTCAACTATAATTTCCAAAGAATAACTTCTTGCTTTTGGTCCCACCTGCATAGCTATTTGACCCTGCTGACATGGTTTAGCAATTTGCAGTCTTGAATGTAAGTACTGAACATGATACCTCTGCCACGCTGATAAAGAAGGTGTTCATACATCCTCCTAGTGCTGACCGCATATTGCTTCCAGATGGTAGATACATGGCATATAGGGAGCAAGGTGTTCCAGCTGACAGAGCTAGATTTTCAGTGATAGCTCCACATGCTTTCCTTTCCTCTCGACTTGCAGGTTGGATAATCTCTGTTAAACATATCTAGCTGGCATAGAGTGCTACAAAGTTTGAAAATATACCAACTATTAGTTTTTAATCTTTTTATATTTCTTTTTCTTTCTTCAAAAAAAATTAGGATTGCCTGGACTCAAGGCTTCACTATTGGAAGAGTTTGGCATCTACTTGTTAACCTATGATCTTCCTGGTTTTGGAGAGAGTGATCCTCACCCAAATAGAAACCTTGAGTCATCAGCATTTGATATGTTGTTCCTAGTAAATGCTTTGGGTGTTAAGAACAAGTTCTGGGTGGTGGGATACTCGAGTGGGAGCCTTCATGCTTGGGCGGCACTCAGATACATTCCTGATAAACTTGCAGGTAGGCAGACCTTGTCTTATTATTAATATTAGCATGTGATATTTCACTCAGATGTTTTCTTGAATGGCTTAGTTTAGATGGTGGTATGGCATGGAGTTCAGAATGAAATTAATGCTCTAAAGCATAGTGATGATCTTGTCTACGTTAATATGTGTATACACATATCAGTGAAGCTTGAAGCGGAAAGAAAAAACAGTGTTTTGTTTTCATTGGTTGAATGATGCATTTCAGAATAAAGGTCTCTGAGTCCAGAATATTTGCTATATTTCAAAATTATTAGGATATTCTTTTTCACGCGGTTGATTAAAAGAAGTAACAACTCCTAGTGTGCTAATGAAAATAATTGTCATGATCCTCCATGGCTTACTTGCAGGTGCAGCCATGTTTGCTCCTATGGTTAATCCATATGATTCATTAATGACCAAGGATGAGAGACGTGGAATCTGGGAGAAGTGGACTCGGAGAAGGAAATTTATGTACTTCTTAGCTCGGAGGTTTCCTAGATTTCTTTCCTACTTCTACCATCGGAGCTTCCTGTCTGGAAAGCATGATCAGATTGACACATGGCTCTCACTTTCACTGGGAAAGCGAGTGAGTGATTTTTCTCATCAATAACTGTGCAAGGTTATGAAAATTCTTCTTTATCTTTTCTTATGAATTTCCACATAATTTTTCCAACTCACTGGTGAGGAAGTTTAAATTCAGAGTGCAACAATTTATTGTTGAGATATTGAAAGTAAATTAATGATTCAGGATTTATTTATTTATTTATTTATTTTTTTTGTTAGTGCTTATCCCATTTCTGAAATTTTTTGACATTTCTTTCCATGATAATTATAAATATACTGAAAGGAGAAAAGTTAACTTGCTTGAGTTATTGAAAGTAACTTGATTCTCTTGTATGTAAATGGCTATTCTGAGTCATCTCAACAGAAAAGAAAGGTTACTCCATAGATAATACATTTGACAATCATATACAACTAGTTTGAATTTTCTTTGTCTCTCAAAGATCAAATGAAAAATGGAAGAGGACATTGTTTCATTTTCAGTATCATGTAACCACCAGACTTGCTCTTTCTAGGATAAAGCATTGATTGAGGATCCAATCTATCAAGAACTCTGGCAAAGAGATGTGGAAGAGTCAATCCGACAGGGAATTGCAAAACCCTTCATAGAGGAAGCTGTTCTGCAAGTTTCAAACTGGGGTTTTAGCCTTGCAGACATCAAATTGCAAAAGAAAAAGCAGGGGAAAGGTGTTTTCAATTGGCTTAAATTTGTGCTCTTTAGATCTGAAGAGGAATATATAGGTTTTTTTGGCCCAATACACATATGGCAGGTAACTAACATGATTAACTTTTTCTCCATTTATTAGCTGCTTCAACTTCAAGCTTCGTTGCTCTTGCATTTCAAAAATTTCTTTTCCCAGAGTCATGACATCTTATATTGGTACACTTAAAAGATCAATTACTTGAAAACAAGTGTGGTGCATTATTTGATTCTTTGTATGGCTCATATCCATAAGAAGTTTTTGACTACTTTAAATTCAAAATAAATAGTTCTACTGAAGTGATGTGAAGTTGGCATATTCTAAAATGGCATTACTTTGTTGTTCTTTCCTTACAAAGAAACAAATTACAAAAGCTGCATTTATAATGTCGTGCAGGGGATGGATGATAAGGTCGTTCCACCATTGATGACTGATTTTGTTCACCGGGTTCTACCCGGGGCTGCAGTGCATAAGCTCCCATATGAAGGACATTTCACATATTTCTATTTTTGCGATGAATGCCATAGACAGATATTCACCACACTTTTTGGGACCCCACAAGGCTCACTAAACAATAACATAGAAGTATGTCAAATTCCAAATGATGAAGATCGCGTGAAGTCTCAGGAGGTAAAACAGACAGAACAACAGGTAGATCAAACTCCACCAGAGGCTGATGTTAAAGAACAGGAAGATTGCATGAAATCTCAAGAGGTAAAACAAACAGAACAACAGGTAGATCAAACTCCACTAGAGGCTGATGTTAAAGAACAGGAAGAAGTAACTGATACCAAAGACTATTTGGTATAAATGAATTCCACAAAATTATACAGAATTCATTTACAAATCCAAATTTTGATATTTGGTGTAAATGAAAATCATTTTGGAATTTCACATTTAGTATAATTTTATGGAATTAGTTATACTTGGATCTAAAAGTCTATCGAAATTGATAGAATTTACAAATGAATTCTAAGCAAAAGCTATGAGGCATGTAAGTTCTTTATAATTTAGAAAATTAGCAATGTACATAACTTAGGTCTCTGTTTAATCATGGGGTGAAAAGAAACAAAAATATATTTCATTTGTTTTGTTTTGCCCTTGGAATCATTTTGGGAAGCTGATGGTCAAGAATTAGGATTTGAAGAGAGAAAAATATACAAAAAAGTTCGTTCAGATTTCACATTCTATGTATGCTCAAGTTGGCTTGAAAACTGCATATTACATATTAATTTATAAAGATCTACTTTCTATGAATTTTTTTGTTCTTGATTTTCACATTGATCTTTATTTTTATATAATAAAAAGCTCCCTTAGAAAAAAATGCAATGCATCTTGATAGAAATGCAAGAGTATGCAATAGAATTAGTAATTATTTTGCATTGGTTACTGGACTAGAAAAATGCTATGATGAGGCTCCAGCAAAATCAGAGGATATCTGTACTCTTCTATTCTATTTGAATGGTAGAGTTCTATTGTGTATCAGTTAATTTGTTGTCTGTTGAGAACAGTAAACTTAGAATTTACTGGATGAGTATGTGTGTATACAAAGATAAACCTGAAAAAAAAGAATGACATTAGAACCCTTTATTGGAAATTATTGATTTAGTTTGTGGCCAAATGACAAAAATTTTGAACTTGTTACAGACAGTTTGGCATAAATGAACTTAAAATGTGGGATTGGCAAAAATGAACTTAAAACTGTGGGATGTGGAATTCAATTATAAATGAATTTTTCATGTTTAGAAATTAGAATAAATTTAAAAATTGAAAATTTATTTTTTTTTTTTTTAAATACCCTTAGTGTAATAATTTTAGAAAGCCATGATTGTTTAAATTTGTGAAATTCATTTGAAAGTTACACTTTTTTTTGTAGAAATTGGTTTAGTTATATTCAAAGCTTTTTATATATATATATATATATATAAAGGAGCAATATTCAAATTTATAGAATTGAATTGGTAAATTTAATTCTTCCTTTTTTTTTCATATTAAGCACAAATTTTGAATTTATAAATGAAATTTACAAAAAAATTTTGGAATTTATTTATTCCAAACAAACAAGTTAACATTTTTGTACAATTTTAAGTTCAACTATGAACTTATCTTTATCAGTATAATTAGGGCTTTATGTTTTCCTTAAGCATGGAGGGTATTATACCACTGGATCACTTTCAATCTTTTTATTTTTAATCTAAACTTAAAAAAATTTATAATAAATAAAATATAAGTTAAAAAATATAAACAAATCAATAATTTATAATAAATAAAATACAAGTTAAAAAATATAACCAACTAGATGATTTTTTTTATTCATTAAGTGTGGTAATAAACTGAAATAACGTTGCGGATTACACAGTATGGATATCTCCAATTAATTCATCAAATTGATGAAAACAATGATTCAAACTCGAGACATTTCACTATTCATATAAGTGAGAAACCAACTAGAACGCAACTGATCGACAATAGTCAATTTTTCATATAAGATAGACTTCAATTTGGTTTGTGCAATCTCAAAAAATAATGTTCTACAATTTAATTGTTTTACAAACGTGAATTATCATGTATAAATTTTTAATATGCAATAGTATATTCTACTATTATGGCAGAACATAAAAATTACATTTATAAATGTATAATTTTTTGGTAATTAACCGTGCATCGTGCCGGATTGCATTTCTGCCCTCCTGACATGTTAAAAGTCTTATTTATTACTAGCATTTCGGCATTATATGTAACAGCCCAGCCCATGGTAGATATTGTCCGCTTTGGGCCACACAAGCCCGCACGGTTTTGTTTCTGGGCCAGGGAAACCTCCACTCTGTCAGCCCAAAACGCGTCTACCATGTTCAAGGTTGCCACCCTTTATGTATAGGACTTCCACCTTGTGCGTAGCCGATGTGGGATTCGCCTAAGGTGTTTTCAACTCGGAGACATTTCACTTATTCATTATAAGTGGGAGAACAACTAGAACGCAACTGATCGACAATAGTCAATTTTGCATATAAGAGTACGACTTTCAAAAATTTCGTTTGTGCAATCTTCAAAAAACCATACAGGTCCAAATTTATTGTTACAAACGTGAGATTTCATTGTATAAATTTTTAGATATGCAATAGTATCTATTCTACTATTATGGCAGAAACATAAAAATTTAACATTATGAAATGGTTATAATTGTATTTTTGGTAATAATTAACAGTGCCTGGCATCGTGTATCACGGATTGACATTTCTACCATACACTTTGACAGTGTTATTAAAAGTTTACTTTATTACTTAGAATGTCATTTTCGGGAGCATATGAATATTTATATGTAAACAGGACCCAGACCCCAGCTAGGGAGATATGTAACGCTTTGGGGCCACTACAAATCGCCCGCACAGTGTTTGTTTCTGCGCCAGGACACCTGCCACTCTGATTCAGCCAAACGCGATTCAACCATGTTCAAAGTGTGCCAACACCTTATGATAGGACTTCCACCGTGTGTGCATAGCCGTTGGGATTCGGCTAAGGTGTTCGTGCCCAAAACATTGGGATGTCCTCATTACCTCTCCCCCTTTGAGACTCCTTAGCGTTCCTCGCTGTAGGTTCTCGCAATACACACCTCACGGCCAGCCGGACAAGGCTTGCAATAACTTCAGATTAACCACAATAGTGTATAGCCCAGCCATGGTAGTATTCAGAGTCCGCTTTGGAGGCACAACAAAGGACCGCGACGGTTGTTTCTGGGCCGTTAAGGAAAACCTACAGCTACTGCTAGGCCCCAAAACGCCCGATTTTCACCCAATGACTTCAAGATTTGCCATCCCTATTGTATAAAGACTTGAGCATTGTGATGTAGCTAACCGCATGTGGATGATTCTGCCTTAAGGTGTCGTGGCCCCCAATTGTACATCCTACTCAAGTCTGATCTAGTTCTCAGTCATTAAGAGTTGAGTAATGTCTGAGTTGTAAGCTGGTAGCTTGAACCAAACCCCCGGTTGGGAGGCCCACTCAATAGATTATAAGTAGGACTTATTTGAGATTAGAAGAATAAGATCAGCACATAGGATGTGAAGATGTCTAAATTTTGTCATTTAAAAAAAATTGAGCTTGGGTATTAAGTTTGTAGTCCTGTTTAACAACATTGAAGGAAAGTAACTAGTGACACCAGCTAGAATAGCAAATTAGCACTGAGATTTCGATGAGTAATCGTGTCATCTTCACTGCGGACGTTCTCCTTTAAATAAAACTTAATCCCGACCACCTGAGGATGGTCTCCCATCGTGCCTGCGGTCCTGCGCTATGTGTCTTTCCGTCTATCTTTATCTGATGGATTTTATGTGACCGAATATACCGAACAAACTCTTACAGGGTGCACAGAAGCTTTAAACAATGGTGGACGTTTTCACTAACTTGTTAGGTACACCATAGCATGTATCCGAACTATGCGTAACTGAAGCCTAAATCATTTTACAGAAAGATTTTCCACAAAAATCCTTGATATATGCACTGGGATTCGCCTACCGGTACATAATACCTTTAATCATCATTTTTCCCATTTTCATGTATATATATCTGTCAATTCTTCTTCATTATTGCCTATTCCTCTTCTCCTACCTATTCATATTTTTAATGGTAGGCTTAAAGCGTAACTTCAAATATTCTTTTTCTATTCACAAGTAATGCTAATTCTTCTCTTTTCGAAGTTCACTAAACGCTCCTTGGACTCACTCATGCTTGGCTTTATTATTTTTAGGCTAATTCTATAGAATTTTCCTTACACGCATATTCATTTTTATAGGTTGAAGGTAGTTCTAAGAGTGTAGGAGATTAAAGAACCGCTAAAGAAGAGACTCATAACGCGTGTCTTGGAAGTTAAACGGTTGAATCACTTTTAGGCATCCGTGTTGTATTATTATTATAAATTTCATTTGCTTTTTCTCAAAAGCCTTTAGTAAGGAGATTCTACACGCGATAACACTACAGAGCAAGCAATAATCATTGCTCGGTCATTTAACTTTATCACCTGCTTCCCATAACACTTATGGGTGTCTGCTTTAGACAAAATCAGGCCATCTGTCTCATGTTGAGATGAGAGAGCTTAGGTAATGAGAGAGAAAGCAGTGGGTCCATATCACAGCTTGTGGAATAATGGAAAATAAATGAAGGTGTAATATTGCAGTTTCTTATGCTTAAACAGGTTTAGCTCGGATAAGTTTAACCACGAAGTAAAACTACACGAATCATATTGATATACTTTATACTCATAGATAGTATATGATACGGAGACACTAATAGGACTCAGTGCTCAGTACAGAAGAGTTATTTGTCCTCACTAAGTGTTAGGCTTCACATGGGATTTTTAATATATATGCGAATATGCGACCAAAAGGAGTACAGACAGTGCAGGCTGGGACCTTGCGCGCGCGAATTGCATGACGATTGTTCGCACGCTTGCCTTCTCGCGCTCCCGAATTTTAAATACCGCGAGCTCCGCGACTTTCACCTGAAACTCTCATGTATCTCCTCATTTGTCACATCTCCGCCTCCGCTTTCAAGTAACGCGCTTCGCGATTTGTGCTCGCAAACTCCTAGCTGAGGACTTTCAATTTGGCACGAATCGTCGCGCTCGAGACTTTTGAACATGCGCGCGCTCGGGCTACTAACTTGGCCCTTGGCCCGTACGATCATCGCGAATACCTCTAACTCGCATGCGATTGCTCTGACGAATTTCGTGCCTGAGGGATAATCACTGTCTAACTCACTGGTTTGGGCACTTCTCTGCAGCTCGCGAGCTGCATAACAGGCGCTCCGCACCTTTGTGGCGCGATAAACTACTGGTCTCCTCACTTTTGTCATTCTACCCGCGCTCGCGTGTGAACTTTTGAACATTACCGCCTGTCTCGGTCGACACTTGTGTTTTCATCACGACTTTCGGACCTTCATTCAAGCAATTCTATTCCTTCGGCTCCGCATAGTATCCTCCAATCTATTTAACAATTAAAATACAACATTAAATCATTGTATTAAACCAACGATGTAACATGCAAATGATTGAAATCAAAATATACATATGAATTTATGAAGTTATGAACTATTAATATGATGTGTTTGGTATTATTGACCATCTACCAACTTTATGCCATCGCATTGATGGATAGCTCAGGTAGAAAAAACCATGTAGATCAGGCTTTATGTACGACCCGACACATCAGGTTCAAGAGATTAGCAGTTATGCTTGTACCCTAATTTACAGTTTGATACCTACGGCATACCAGAGCCGTTTGAATGGACCATGATGTCATTATTTTATGGGGCCATAGCATGCAAGGCATACGAGCGGATCCTCCAGTTTACTTACAGTCTTTGCTTATGCACTTCGGTTGCACTATAACCTTATGCGCCATACAGATATCTTGGACATAAATCATTTTCATTGAATTAGACAGTGATTATCAACAGTTACAGAGATAATCATACCCAATGCTTTATCGTGTATAGTGATCATTGATGTGTGTGTACGTTATATGTTGTTTGCATTATGTTCTTTTCTTTATTAACCGTATGTTGCTAATTTTCTTTATCTGCTTTTGACACTTATCCACTGAGCTTTATACTTGCTTCTCAGCGAGTTACCTGTTATAGACTCAAGCAAGTTTGAGTTTTTGGACTCGTAGAGAGTCAAGCTTACAACTGCTGCAGCTTCATCTCAAGACCCAAGCTATTCAGGGTAGCCTCATTCAATATGCTATCATTTGAGATCTACCCTTTTTATAGGCTATTGTACGCATTACGAGCCCTCAGTAGGGATTCACATTTCATTGGAGTAAAGACGTGTATTAATTTAATTGTACAAGCTTCATAACATTTACCCTATTGTATTTTACAATTAGTTATCAGCAAGCTATTGCATATTTCAACACCAACTACTACATTGATCGATCTTCACGGCATGTCAGGCTCATACAGTACCCGCAGTTGGAGCTCTCGGTGCAGCCCCGGTTTCTATTTAGTGCTATACTGAGTGGGAATCCTGAGATAGGGTGGTATTACTGATTTCAGCATGTCAGGCCATACAGTCAACCAGTTTGTAGCGTCTCGGTCCGGTTCATTCGAGTTTACGGGTGGACCGAGAAGGGGTGTTACATTATATTTGTGTCCTCCAAAATTATTTGCATCTATAATCACACTCATAGACCAAACTAATCATAATAAAAAATTTTTAAAAAGTATTCCGATTTTTTTTCCCCAATATATAGTCAAAAATGCCTTCGTTTCAATAAGAAATCTTATTTTCATTGGTTTGATCTATGAGTGACGCCATAAATCCAGTTTAGGTAAATTTTCCGCGTCCTCCAAAGGTTTCTTTTAAATTTCGACATTTATGTTGATTTTTAAAATTAATCGTGAAATAAAAATCTTTATAATACAAATCCAACCTTACGATTTTGGATTCAAAAATTTTAAGGATATTAAAATAAAATATTTAAAAATCATAACAAACTAAAAAAAAACTTACACTAAAGAAACACAACAAAAGTCCAACAAAATTTGCATTTTATTTTCTTCTCTCTACTCTACGCCTCCAATTCTTTTTGAAAACATTCTTTTATTTTTAAAATATTTTATTATAAAATTTTTTAATATAAATAAGAAAATGCGATAATAAGGTATGGTTGGATTAGTCTTCCTATTTTTTTGTAAAAAATGTAAAGCGAGAGTTTGAGTACTCTGCACCATAAAAATTATCATCAATTTGTTGAATGTTATTGAAAGTCCATTGAACCCCTGCGAATAAAAAAAAAATATACAGAAAATATAAACTATAAGTTAAATAATAGATTGGACTTCTAATATCTATTTTTTTATTTTAGGTTTTTGCTTCATATTGAAACTTTTTTAATATATAAAAAATTAAAATACGCTATAGTGCAATATATATATGATTATTTTAGAGGGTTAATTTACTCTTTTACCACGTTTAGCTTCTCAAAATATTTAATGATATTTTTTTTTTATTTTTTAAAAAAATTTAAGACAACTCTTAAATTGAAAAGATTTATAGAATTGAGATTCACATTGTAATTAAGGATTTTCAATACTTCAAAATTATAATGTTAATAAAAAAAATTTAAAATTATAAGTTAGAAAATAAAGTTTTAAGTCAAATTAATATATTATTTTTAAAAAATTAACTGGTTTATACATCAGTTAAATTAATATATAAGAATATCTATTTTAAAACTAACTATAAAATTTCTAAATTATGATTTTATAAAAATAGAGGGACCAAAATATTAATAAAAATATGAGTTATGGTTAATTTTTCAGTCAATGACCTAATTGACTATCAAAAGTATTTTAAAGGGGAGGATTAAATTGTTAATTGAATTAAGAGTTAAAGACTTTATATTAATTTGATTATAATATAGAGGCCACTTTATATTTTTTCATTTTGTTGATTATTTTTTCTCGATCTCCACAAGTCTGAGTCATGAGCTCCCTGCTAACTCGGTCTTTTTCTCATTTTTCTCCTACCCTCAGGCCTCAGTTACAGTGGTTAACCTCAAAACCTACCGTCCGGAAAACAAAAAATATGAAAACCAAAACCTCTCTAGAAACACCACTCTGGTGCAGCTTTTGACGCTACTGAGTCACCCACTCAATCCTTCTCTGTTCAATCGGTTGCTATATATAGCCATAAGCCATTGCTTCGATAAGAATATGAGAAGTATCCTCTCTACTCTCTCTCTCACTCGCCCATTCTCTTCTTCTGCTTCTAAAAGAAACCTCAAATCCAATAGCTTCATTTTCCTTCGCTCCTCTTCATTTCTCCATTTCTCTCCTTCTCCTTCGTCTTCTTCTTCCATTTCTCATTTAAACATGTCTCAGGTGATTGATTCGTTAATCTTGATTCTATTTCTTTTTGATAATTGAATTAGTTGATTAATTATTGCTAATTGAGTTGAATTGGTGAATGAGTTTTGCAGAGGAGGGGCGGGCATACAGAGCAACAGCCATCTGTAGAACAGTCTTCTCCTTCATCGGTGGCAGCGGTTACCGATAGAATTGGTGTATTGAGTATCGCGGAAACCAGTGGGCAAATTCATGTTACGGCGTCGTCGCCCATACAGTATGGTATTAATCAGGGTAACTTGCTTGGTCAAAAGGCAATATGGAAGCCTAAATCTTATGGAACAGTAAGTGGAGGTGGAGTTTCGACTGAGGAAGTTGAGAAGGTGCCTTTTAATGGAAGTGAAGTACAAAATAGTGCGTCAGCTGCAACCGTGGCATCTCCGAGAGTTGGTGTTAGTTTAAGTCAATTATTTAAGGGTAATTTATTGGAAAATTTTGTGGTGGATAATTCCACGTATTCGCAAGCCCAAATTAGAGCCACTTTTTATCCCAAATTTGAAAATGAGAAGTCCGATCAGGAGGTATTATTTTTGCTACTATCACTACTGTGCTCCATAGCTTTGCTGTTAAATTTTCTTTAAGCTTTATTATAATTCGCCATTTGGTCCTAATATATACAGATTAGGATCAGAATGATAGAGATGGTATCAAATGGGCTGGCTACATTGGAGGTAAGGAGTTTTTATAGAAGCTTGCCTTTAATATAGAAAGGTAGTTGCTTTGTCATTAAAGAGTTGTGTAGTTTTCCATAAGTTATTTTCTGCTTCTATTAGCACTACATTAGTCTCTATGAACTTGATGAGATAAAATATTGACAAATTGGGACAGCAACTGAAATTGTCATTAGAAAATAAAGACATTCATTTACCCACTTCAGCTGTACTTTGGTTGCTCTTCATCCAGAATTTTGATTATTTTTGCTGTCATTGTTCAGTTCTGGTAGATTAGTAATCTACTTTTGCAGACGTGCTTGATTGCATGATTTTTTGCTTTGATATTACAGGTCACACTCAAACATTCTGGGTCTCTTTTTATGTACGCGGGTAACAAGGGCGGAGCATATGCAAAAAATAGCTTTGGGAATATGTATGCTCATAATGTCCTCACTTACCTCTCTCTTTTGATTTACCCATTTTAGTTTAATACTTTTGTTTTTTAATACTTCTCTTTCTATCAAGGGTTGTTTGATTGCACTATCTGAAGTACATACCTCACATTTTATCACTGCTAGTTACTTTTTGCTGACTGCGCCTTGTAGCTTATTGAACATAGGTTTTGCATTGTAGATACACTGCTGTGGGCGTATTTGTCCTTGGACGAATTTTTCATGAGGCATGGGGAACTGCAGCTGCAAAAAAGCAGGCAGAGTTCAATGAATTTCTTGAGGTAACCTCAGATAATTTAAATCCTCAGCTTCGCATTTTAACTTTATTTCTCTTTCGATTCAAATTTGTTTGAGCATAAATCTAGTCTGGTATCTTTTATGTATTTGTTCTTTTGTAATGCAAATTTTGTATTTATTGTACATTCATAATGCACCACGTCTATATTGCAGCTTGGTATTTCTTTGATTGACTTTGATCTATATTCTGCTCCTCCTTATTCTATCACTTATCTCAGTGAATTCGAAATTCTAATCCTATTCCTCCTCTAAGTCATCTTTAACAGTTTGGGCATAGTTGCTATTATATTACTATTGTGCTTAGTATTTGCATTGATTTTGACCACAATTATAAACTAATTCAGTTATCTTTTAGTTCCTGCAAATTGTTTCACCATTATTTCTTCTTTCAGAAAAACAGGATTTGCATATCAATGGAATTGGTGACTGCTGTTCTAGGAGACCATGGGCAGCGTCCCCGAGAAGATTATGGTAAAAGATGTTCTCTTTTTCAGTTTTTCAACTAAGATGAAAGTAAAAACATGTAAGATCTAGATTGTACCGGAAGGAAAACTCATTCATTCAAAGCATCCAGATTCTTGTCATATTTTCCTGTTTGATTTTAAACTTTGAGTTGCAACTTGTCTACCTTGCTTCTGATCAATTTGGAGCTAGGGATTAAGTTTGAGGATTTTAGTTAAAGTACTGGGAATGATGTGTGTGCGTGCTTTTAAAGTCTGCAATTTTGAGTTGATTGTAACAGTAGATGAATTACACATGGATTCAAATTGAGTGTACTGATGGTGGTTTTGATAAATGATTTGGAAACTTGATGTTTGATTTTATGATTGAGATCATCTTTATGCTGATTGTAGTAATTTTCCTTGTCATTTATCTGGCTGAGTTGTAGTACATATCAGCCAGGATCATTGTGCTTTGCAAAGTAGATCGTGGATACTATGTTGCCATATTTTGAGGAGTTTGGGCATTGGTTAATATTGGATATCTTGTCAATTATATGCTATTTTGATAGGTAGGCTTGCCTTTTTAATTTTCAATCCTCACAGGGTACACGGTTGTTTTTCAAATAGATTGTTTGGTCCTAAAAAAATTATTGTTTATTGGAAGGGAAATATATATGGTCTTTTCTTGTTGAATATATTATAGTATATTGAAGATCTATTTGTTGAAAATACATTTGGTATTTTCATTACATTGCTTGAGGGTACAATTACATATGTCATAGACTCATAGGTTTCTCCATTCTCCATTTGCGTGCAAAGTCAGTTCATTAGGTTGGTCCCATCCTTGGGGTTTGTTGAATTACTTGGCTAATTTTCACGATGTCTTCTTTTTTGCAGTTGTGGTGACAGCAGTCACAGAATTAGGCAATGGAAAGCCAAAGTTCTACTCAACTCCTGAAGTGATTGCCTTTTGTCGGAAATGGCGTCTTCCAACAAATCATGTTTGGCTGTTCTCAACAAGGTGACGAATGTGCATACTCATTGAGTTATAAAAATTGGCTTTGTCTTTAGGATTGTAGATGTCAATTTATTGCTTCTAATTATAGTATGATTTGTTAATGAAGGAAATCAGTGACTTCTTTTTTTGCTGCCTATGATGCGCTATGTGAAGAAGGAACTGCAACCTCTGTATGTAGAGCTCTCGATGAAGTTGCTGATATTTCTGTACCAGGTGCTTAATTTAAATCATCTCTAACATCTTTTGATCATTCTGTTTGTTTTGTCCTCACAAGGACATGATTCTGAGTTAGAAGTAACTCTTTTACAGTGTTATTGGAATGTAGATGAGAGGTAATTGTGGTGAGTATAACCATTTGGAATCATTTTACTTGAAAATATTGTAAGTGGCATACTAACATGATAAGGACAATCTACTGAATTTTGGGAAAAAATTGAGCTTCGAAGCTCGTTCGCAGTAACATATATCCGCGTGACATTTTTAGTAAACATAGGAACTTCTTAAAACATAATGAAACTGAAAGTTCCATGGTTTGTACTGCATGCAGCGGAAAAGATGGAGCCTCATGCCAGTATGAACTTCTCTTCTACAGCATCATCTTTGTTTTCCTCAATGAGGCTCAGAAGTTCTACCATTGGCTCCATATAAGATACTGAACTTCAACTCATGATCCATGCAAAATATGAACCATGCATTGATGCTTTTTTCATTCCATAATAGATTTCTTGTGTGTTTTTACCACTCAATTATTTGTGTTAACTTCTGCTTGAAACCAATTATTGAAATGACCCTCTTCTTTTAATCCTCTACTTTGGGGTAACTGTTATAAGGTTGCAGTTTGGATGTGTATGAATATAAATATGCTGATCAGTGGTTTAGATTTAAACAAATTTTATGAATGTGCAGGTTCAAAAGACCATGTAAAGGCTCAGGGCGAAATCTTAGAGGGTCTTGTAGCTCGTATGGTAAGTCCTGACAGCTCAAAAGACATTGGGGAGGTCTTGAGAGAATTTCCTCCACCAGCTGAAGGAGGTATGGTTCACAGTAAATTTCTTTTTCACGTGAAATTAGCAAATGATTGAATTACCAAAAGTTTCCTCTTATTATTTTACCTAAATCTAGATGTCACCTAAGCCTCTTACCATGGTCTCTAGATTCTGCTCCTACAGGAAAATCTCGTCCGCTTCTGTGCCCCCTTTTTTTTTTTTTCGAAATGGCATGGATAATTAAAAGATATGGAATAATTTGTGTAAAGATTAAGGGGCATAGGATTACTAGTTATAAATGTTATCTTGACAGAATCAATTTGTTGGCGCACGATTCATGCAGATGGATGTCTTTTGAAAACAATTAGCTGAACTCTTTTCAGTCTGTTCTTATGGGTAATGTAGAAGGTTTGAGGATTAATTTCTTTCTTTGGTCCTGAAAATTACAATTAAACCCTATATTAGGATCATATGACATCTGATCCTCACAGATTTGTTGGAATTTCCTGATTATTCATGCATATATGTACCTTCAGACTTTTCCTGAATTCATATAGAACTAAAATATATTGAAGTAAATTAGCAGAAAAGTGGAGGGACAGTGCAAAACTAGGGAAGAAAAAGAAGCAATTCAAGAGTTCCTTACTTTTATTCCTCTTAAGGAATGCTGTGCGCAGAGCAATCATTCCTTGCTGAGCTCAGTAAGGTTTTGATTGGATGTAGGTTTGTTTCTGCTGTCGTGACACACTGTGTTCTTAACATTAACTACTCTGTTCCTAACAGTTGTTTCTGACAGTCATTGTATGTTGGATGTAGCCCTTATTTTCACAATTTTTTTTTCACAAGTCTTTGTTGTCCTTTCCTCTTCTCCTAGAATCAGTGAATAATTTGTCTTTGGTCAATCTGTTTAATGATTATGCCATTTGAGTGTTTGGATAACTATTTTCTGTTTGTTGCTTAATGTTCTTTTGGAATTATTGTTTAATGATTATCCCATTTGATTGTTTGGCCGACTATTTTTCTGTTTGTTACTTAATTTTCTTTTGGAGTTATGGAACTAAATAATTTGTTAATGATTATGCCATTTGATTGTTTGGATAACTTTTTTCTGTTAGTTTCTTTTGCTTAATTTTCTTTTGGAAGCATGTAAGTGAATAGACATGGTTTATGGACATGCCTTTTGATTTCTGGAATCACTTTTTGTGCTTCAGCTGGCCTTGATTTGGGACCTGGTCTAAGGGAAATTTGTGCTGCAAATAGGGCAGATGAAAAACAGGTGACTTTGAGATCCTTTTAACATTAACTAATGTATTTCATTTGTATAGAAATTATTCTGTGAAACTATAAATTGTGGTATACATTAAAATCATCTTTGTAAAATTGCAATTTCTTTTTCTTTGTGAAATACTATCAGCAAATAAAAGCACTACTTCAGAATGTTGGCTCCTCTTTTTGCCCTGACAAGTCAGACTGGTTTGGGATAGAAGGTGTTGATATCCATTCAAGAAATGCAGATCGATCTGTCGTTTCAAAATTTTTACAAGCTCACCCTGCTGATTTTGCAACCTCGAAGTTGCAGGTGAGGCCAATTGTGCTGTTTTCTGTTTTTTTTCCCATCCTGTAAAAGCAGCCTTTACTAGTGGAAATTAGCAATAAAAATTACAAATAATTGCTGCTAGATTTTATTGTTAGCTCTTTGATTATGGTTTGGAAATATGTCTATTCTTTTGTTAAAATCACTTCTGTAACAGGAGCTGTGTATTTTGTATTTGGGGTTTTTGTCTGTTCTCTAAAGATGATTTTGTTTCTTCATTGAATTGAACCAGGAAATGATTCGTTTGCTGAGAGAAAGACGCTTCCCAGCTGCTCTTAAATGTTACCATAACTTCCATAAAATTGATTCTGTGTCAAGCGACAACCTTTTCTATAAGATGGTCATTCATGTCCACAGTGGTTCAGGATTTCGGCGATATCAAAAAGAGATGAGGTGTTGTTTGGGCATACAGCCTAATTGCAAATTTTTATGATATAGAGCTTAGGTTTCAATTTACTATTACATTATGCATTTTCTACGGAGACCTAACTACAACATTGCTATCTTTATAGGCATAAGCCTGAATTATGGCCATTATATCGAGGTAAAAATGTTTACTACCGATTACCGTCTTTAATACTTGAAGTGAAAAAAGAATTCGAAGGTAGATTAACGAGTTGTGTGGACTTTGATTTTTGACATGTATATTTACTCAGGATTTTTTGTTGATATTAATTTATTCAAGGCCAGCAAGGAGAAAGCTATTGAAATTGCAAAACACAAAAATAACATGGGGGGAAGTGTTAATGGTGATGATGGCATATCTGCAAAAAACAGTATAGCTGATGAAGATGCAAATTTAATGATCAAATTGAAATTTCTTACATACAAGGTATAAACATATAAATGAATTCACCCTGATTTATAGTTGTAATGTAACGTATTAACTGCTTTATGCTTGGAGGGCAAACCAGGTGAAAGATGCATATAAAATCTTTTTAATGGCTAAACCTTGAAGGAATCTTTCATGATCATATCCTAATTAAGGATGATCTAAATTTCTAGACCCTATGCTAGTAAAAAAAAAAAAATTGTCCTCGAGAAACTTTTACTTGATTCTAGAAAAATATATATCTACTGTTATTTGAGGAGGATCAGATTGATTTTGCTGTTATTTAAATGCTTCTAGATTTCGCCCTTGAATTAGGTGATCACTGATCAGTAGAATATGTTTTATTTTCCATTATCGATATTTTTTTTCCATAAATTTATATTTTGGAGTCTTTGTACTATTTCTAACGGATTGGTAAGGAGTTTTGAATATTATTCTTGTATGCTTTTGTATACAGTTGAGAACTTTTTTGATCCGCAATGGTTTGTCAATTCTTTTCAAGGATGGTCCATCTGCTTACAAGGCCTACTACTTGAGGTAAAGCACTATGCCTTGTTGTATTGACTTGGAAAAAAACCTAAAGGTGAGGTTTTGTTTGGTGATGTTGGGCACTGTTCTCTGCATTGTTATATTTGTTTAATGAGGATCAATTAATTGATGAGTCTGAATTTGTTTTAGCAACCGGCTGGAGTGTACATTGAGAGATTTGAGTTATATTTGCAGTGACTTGCACCATGCTTATTGGAAATTTCTTTGGCACAGCCAAAGAATTCTTGATTGAAAGTACATTCTGCCCAAGAACTTAACTTGTTTCCCTCCAGAGCCCCTTTACAACTTTGCTCATGATAGTTCACTGTGCTGCAATTATTGTTAGTCATTGACTTATCATAGGACATGGATTATAGATTAGAACCTTACAAGTATAGAAGTGATATGAAGTCTTTATCATGATAATCATATAATGCATTTTATAAATTGTCCATTTGGCTTTCTTCTTCTTCTTCTTCTTCTTCTTCTTCTTATCATGATAATCATATAATGCATTTTATAAATTGTCAATTTCGCTTCCCCCTAGTGCAGGGTTTATGATATCAGTTGCCATGATGCTATGTTTTCAATGCTATCTCAAGTCTGTTTTTTTAGATTTTGGCCTACGCTTTTTGCTAAATGTTCTAGATTTGTTTGTACATTATAGACAAATGAAAATATGGGGCACCTCAGCAGGAAAGCAGAGAGAACTCAGCAAGATGCTTGATGAATGGTACTGTCAGAATGACTTTATTTGTGCTTCCTCATTTGGAGCTGAAAATCTTTTCTGATTTGTTCCTGTGCAGTTAGTTAATTGGACATTTTTAAAATTTAGGGCTGTATACATCCGAAGAAAATATGGGAAAAAACAGTTGTCATCCTCAATATACCTGAGCGAAGCTGAGCCTTTCCTTGAACAGTATGCAAGTAGAAGTCCACAGAATCAGGCTCTGATTGGATCTGCTGGAAGCTTAATCAGGGCTGAAGATTTCTTGGCCATTATAGAAGGAGACAGGGATGAAGAGGGTGATCTTCAGACAGAACGGGAGGTGGGACCCCCAAGCCCTATTTCCCCAGTCAAGGATGCTGTTCAAAAGAATGAGGGTTTGATTGTATTCTTTCCAGGTAAAACTACCAGTTTATTGGTTATTATCTTCAGAAAATTTTTTCATGATGCCTCATGAACTGCTTGTTTAGTTGGAGGAGAGTAGTGGGATATGTACTATTTTCCATCTTGGCAGTTTGATTGTCGAATTGTTTTAGACTTGAGTTTTTGGAAGGGTTCATGATGGTTCTTTGTCAGCAGTATCTTTGCCTCGTTTCTGACCTTGTGACTTAATATTGGTAGCTAAGCAATTACTAGTCAACAATGTGTTATACAATTGCATGCTTAGAAACAATTTGATTTTTATCATTCAGATAAGCATCAGAATGAGATGCTTTGAATTGCTCAGGGATCATACACATGGTCCCTCGTGCTATTGGTTTATCTTGACATATACATTTGACTTGCGATATTCAGGAATACCGGGTTGTGCAAAATCTGCACTTTGCAAGGAATTACTGAATGCACATGGAGGACTTGGGGATGATCGTCCAGTCCATAGTTTAATGGGGGACCTTATCAAAGGTATGAAATATGGTGCAGCAAATAAGTTTAGTTACACATGAATGTGTTTATGTTTGATTTGCATACTAAGAAAATGTATGGTCTCCCTCAGAAACTTCTGCCCAAATGCTTATAATTGTTACACAGAAGTTTGCAATTATAGAAATACTAATGAAGTTTATTAATGATATTTATGACACTTGATGCTGGACAAAATGGCTTACCACTGTCATTTTGTCTAAAGAACTAAAACTGAGTTCAGGATTCTTATGTGATTTTAGATCTTTTGAAAAAAATGGTAAGAACTTCTTCTCTGATGAGAAAGTGACTTTGCATCATGTCACTTCTTAATAATGTCTGCTTTGAAATATTAATGATGACAGAAGTTTCAGTAACAGGATATTTAACTAGAAATAGGATTCTTATGATGGAAGTAAATGGAATTTGATATACAATAAAGTTAAAAAAAATCAATATGAGATTTCAAGTATTATTTTCTAATTGGATGGTTATGTAGCTAATCGAGTCTGAATTCCATATTAAACTCATGTTTCCTCTATAGTTACCATTTAGCATTTTCTTTTGCCCATGACTATAAGTTGTCTATTTCCCCATAGTAACTATTGATCATGTAATCTGGTTTATGAAAATTCTGAGCTTGGATTTTATGTTCTCTCTGACAGGCAGGTATTGGCAGAAAGTTGCTGAGGAGCGCAGGAGAAGACCATATTCTATAATGCTTGCTGACAAAAATGCACCAAATGAAGAAGTTTGGAGACAGGTAAACTAATTTCTCTTGGACTCATTTGAAAATGATGATGCTTTGATGGGCTGAAGCAGACTTAGACAAATGAAAAGGGGTCCGATTGATGCTGACCCTTGTGTGTTGGCTATTGCTTATATGGTGGCAAGTCATGGTATTAAATATTTCTTGACAGTAACATGGTAATGTCGGTAGTCATTTCAACCAGAAGCTTTGAGCCTATATTACAGACATGCTCTCAGTTAAACAATTCTCTGTTTTCTTGAGCATTTCGTTAGCTATTTTTAAATGGGTCACTGTGTCTGCATTTGGAGAATAACTAAAGGTTCATCCAAACCTTACATACTGGATTTGCTCTTGATTTCTACATGCATTTGTGCGGGCCGCTGTTTCATGAGAAATAGTGGGGTTCACCTAACCAAAACAAACTTGAAGACCAGTGCCTTATGACAACTTTCTCCATTCGATGCAGATTGAAGATATGTGCCGCAGCACCCAAGCTTCGGCTGTTCCTGTTGTTCCTGATTCTGAAGGTTATGATCCTCTCCTAATACTGAAGATGCCAACTTTCCTTGTCATACTTTGTCTTAAACAATAATAACTCAATATTTGTTCATTTTTCTCGTGTAAGTTCTGTTGCACATATTTTGGCAGTTCTGGCATGCTATGTGTGTGTTTTATTTTGATGGCTACAGTGATGTTTGTTGCTTGGAGATTTATTTGCCTCTGCCTAACTTCTTTCTGATAAGTGAATAGCTTTCATGTAGAATTTATGGAATATTGGCATGAAATTTTTGTGCACTCTACATGTTGAAGATTAGTTCTACCTCATAGTCCAGTCCATATTGTTGTGAAAATCCTCGAGTCACAAGTCTTGCTTTATATCTTTCAATTGATCTATCCGATCGAGGTCTAAGCCTAAGTCATTCTTTAACTTTGTGGACAATTCTACTTCATGATTCTAATTTTTATGATTTTTGGATTTCCTAATCTATTGAATTTCTGGAAAGAAAACTGCAATTGACTGAATGTTAAGGACTACACCATAAACACATATTAACTAGCCTTTTTTGTCCATAGCTTCATGAGGTAAACATTTTTATCTATTCTATCAGGAAAGACTACTTTCATGTCTATTTCTGTCTTCCTTTACATAAATCACATTTCGTTTTCTAATTCTTTTCCTATTTACATTCTACTTCCTAACGTTTCCAATCTGCATTCACCCTTACTTTGATGACTACATGCAAAAAATTCGTAAAGGACATGAATATTACATGTTCATCGCCATGCATATGTTTTTGCAGCCTCTGGAGCATTCTGCACTACAACTACTTGTGCAAATTAATTTGTTTTTGGAGATTCTCTTTAAACTGCAATTTTCCATAAATATATTGTTCCCTGGGATAGTGCTATATTTTTAGTAGAACCTGTTGATGTTAAATGGGTGACTATATCTCCACTGATGCTCTTCGTATGTGAGCAACATAAAACAAATGTGGTATTTGATTGCTTTTTCTTAAACAGCAGAGTGCTTTTTATTTATTTATTTATTTATTTATTTTTTGCAACTACCAATAGTTTGTTCAATTTAGTGTTAGTCTTCACTTTTGAAATGTTTTGATTTTCATGGTTATTAGTTTCTAATTCTGCTATTGAATGATATGAATTACTGGCTTTTAAATATTCAGGTACGGATTCTAATCCTTTTTCTCTCGAAGCATTATCTGTTTTCATTTTTCGTGTTCTTCAACGAGTTAATCATCCGGTACTTCTCATTTTGGCTTCTTTGGTTTGCATATTTTGAAACCAGGATTACATGATTGGATTTCATCTTTCTAACCCTGTTCTTCACTTTGAACTTTGTAAGGGCAATCTGGACAAAGAATCTCCAAATGCTGGCTATGTGCTTTTGATGTTTTATCATCTTTATGATGGCAAGGTATCTTTTGTTGTTGGTATGATGTCTCTCTATGCCTAACCATGAATCATTTTAACTGGTGCCGCTTGCATTTTCCAGAGTCGAAAAGAGTTTGAGAGTGAATTAATTGAACGTTTTGGCTCTATAGTGAAGATGCCATTGCTCAAATCAGATAGGTAAGCATAAATTTAGCCTAAGACAACTGGAGACTCTCATATATGAAATGATTCTTAGCTTTCTTCATTTTTGGTCTCTGAATAACATTTTTTTGCTCCTGATTTTCTTTGAAATATTTAAAAATCTATTGAGCTCTTTTTTCTCTTTTGTGAACCTATTGAATCCAATTAGTCCAAATAAGCTCTTGAGTGCTAACCATTAGATATTAAATGGATAAAAGTTGATATGAAAGGGAGGAGGATAGTTGCATTGTAATGGAAAGAATTTAATGGCAATAATGAATGTATCTTATATAATTGAAATGACGGTTTCTGGCTTCTAAAGGTTATCCCTTTTTTTTTTTTTCTTGGCTTTTCTATTTTAGATCAAGTAGAATGAATCACTAGCCATTCAATCTTGTGACTTTCTGCATCTCCTTGGCTTTTGCAGGAGACCTTTCCCGGATCCTGTGAGGTTGATTCTGGAGGAGGGAATAAATCTATATAGGCTTCATACAAACAGACATGGAAGGTGTGAACGTTTATATGCTTTCTGTTGAGGTTTTTGCTTAACATTTTAGATTATCTGATTTAAATAATGTTGGCATGAAGAGTTAATCGTTTATGTGGGAAATGAAAGCTAGAATGTTGGAAATGAATGCTATTGTCGAACTTGAATGTCATTATGCTGGTAGATAATTTTTGAAGAAAACTAGAAAGTTGTGGAGCTAAGCATTTAAGTTTTAAGACGCTATATTATCTATGAATGCTTTCCTTCATTTATCTTCACATTGATTCATTCTTTTGCCTAGTTACTTTTGATTGTGGAAATCAACATCAGGTGAAAAACAATTTGATTTTATGCTCCACCCAGATTGGGATATAAATAAATCATGTCCAGGCTATTCCTTGTGTTCTTTAATTTTCTTAAACAACATAGAACACCTTCTTGTCACTAAAAATCATGCCTATTTTCCTCCAAAGTATTGTCTTACCATCATTGACCTATGTCATTGGTGGACTGAAATGATAAAATTTATGTTTCTTCCTTAGTTGATTAGTTTTTGTACCATTTCCAATGTAGTTTTCATGCTAATGTTATGGTGCAACTTCTTTAATTGTTGCTTATATCCCATTAAGACGGTACATTTTACTTGTTTATTTTCCTTGCTGTTCCTAGATTGGAGTCCACCAAGGGGTCATATGCAAAGGAGTGGGCGAACTGGGAGAAGCGATTGCGTGAGGTTTTATTTGGGCATGCTGAGTATCTGAATTCCATTCAGGTCTACATCTTATACATTGTGTTCACATTGATGTGGGTGGGCATGTGGAAGTGTTCTTTGATTTGATTTTCTAGCTCTTATTACTATCACCTATATGAAAATCATGGTAGACTAAAGTATTGTACAAACTCCAGATCTAACCCTTCCTCTTCCACATTCATACTACTTCATGTCTCCCATTTTTCCCAATTTTTGTAGTAAATAAACTTATCCAGAACTTGTATGCACCCAGGTTCCGTTTGAGACTGCAGTTAAGCAAGTACAGGAACAACTAAGAAGTATTGCTAAGGGTGAATACATAACACCAATTACTGAGAAGAGGAAACTGGGAACAATTGTTTTTGCTGCTGTCAGTTTGCCTGTTACAGAAATCTCCAATTTTCTCAACGATGTAAGCAGGATTTTAATTTCTCATTTTCTTCACATTAGGCCTGCAAATGGTTCAGTGGCTTATTAAGGAATTTTCCCCCTAATCACAGCAAGATTCTTCTTGTTTAAACCTCTGGTAAATCAAGTCCATATATATATGAGTTTTGTGTAGAGTTTTTCCATTAGATGTCTTGGTCTGATGCACCTGTTTACTGCCATGGATATATCCGTGGTTAAAAATTAATTATCACCTTCTTGTTCTTACTAATAGTCGAGTAAGCATTGTCAATGCTAAATATAGAGAGTTATACTCGTATGGACCACCTTATTCAATCCTCTCGTTTTACCTCGTCTCTAATTCACCTTAATACTTTCTTAAATTGGCCATTCATGTATAGATATTTAGATTGCATGTTTTTGACATAGGAAATATATATATTCTTGCTCTTTATTGACTCGTTCATTCCTTGAGCAGTTGGCTCAGAAGAACGCGAAGGTCGAAACTTTTCTTCAGGATAAGGACATGGTGCACAACCTCAAGAAGGCTCACGTGACTCTTGCCCACAAGAGAAGTCACGGTGTTGCTGCAGTAGCAAGCTACGGACTCTTTCTTCATCAGAAGGTCCCTGTACAGTTGACTGCACTTCTCTTCACAGACAAAATGGCTGCACTAGAGGCAGAACTGGGTTCTGTTGATGGCGAAAAAGTAGTTTCAAAAAACGAGTGGCCCCACGTTACCATATGGACTGGAGAGGGAGTAGCACCGAAGGAAGCCAACACGCTACCCCAGTTGGTCACAGAGGGGAAAGCTACTCGTGTTGAAATCAGTCCACCTATCACCATATTTGGCACACTAGAATTTTATTGAGTTCTTTTTTCTCTCCTTTTCTTTTTGTTTTCCCACTTATTGGTCTAGAAATGGCTTCGAACTTTGTTCATAGTACAATTTCAGTTATAAAATTTTGCAGGTACTAGGTAGAGTGCAAAAGATTACAGGAGATCCTTTTCATTGTTAGGAGCCGAGTTATATGAGCTGCTGAGATATTGTGTACAGGCGAAAATGAACCAAATATGAAATATTGAAACTTTTCTACTAGGTTAAGAAGAAAATTTCTACTAGGATTGAATCATTTAACTGCTGCTGCAATTTTTATTTTTCCAAAGGATGAAGTGCTATTCAGTCATTGAGTTATTATCGAATTCATTACCTTGTACCTCTATTTTAAAGAACTAATTATATAGTTTTTGAGTTTCATGTCCCTTGACCAAAGAGTCCTCCCATTCAAAATATATCATTCTTCCATTAATTTTCAGTGAAAGGATGGAAATATCCTCTATTTTAATGGGTAATTACTCTCTTTATCCATTTGTTTATTTCTTTTCACGTATGTTATTATGTTCTAGTTATCCCTTTCTTCCTCTCAAACTTTCTTTTCTTTTCCTCACCCCCTCTCTTTGCATCATCCCTCGTCCAAGGTCTCACTTCACTATTGTTTCATCATCATTAAGTAGCCATCACTGCCAAACCTCCATCTCACTGTCCAAGCTCCACGAACAAGCCATCATCACCATTTTGTTTTATTATTTTCTTTTTCCTTCTCATGTTTGGTTAAATTTTTGTGGGTACTCTTTCTAATTTTTCTATTTTTCTAAAAATGCCTACATAAGTTTTTGTGATTTGATTCTTCAATTTTTGATAAAGTAAGTAAAAAGGCTCTTTTAGTGCAGAGGGACTTTTGTCGGGAATTTTATAATTGGGTCTTTTTAAACGGAGGGACTTTTCCGAGGAATTTTACAATTGGTTCTCCAAAATAGAGGGATACTAAATAGTGTATTACCATTTTTTTTTCAAAAGAAAAAAAACGCCTGTAATTTTGTAGGGAAAAATCATGATTTTATCTTTGTATTGTCAAAGTATATAACATTACTCTTGTATTTTTTAAAAATACACAATTGTCCTTATTTCTAACTCACCGTTATATTATAATATCTTTCCTTCTGTTAATCTTTTATATTTTTTGTCAATAAATTACTATTTTATTTTATATTTTGTCAAAATTAACTAATTTATTTATGTATTTTTTTTTCTTATTTTGTCTTTGAAATTTGTCAAAATTAACTAATATCTCTATATTTAACATGAAAAGTACAAAAAATTAACAGAAGGAATAAAAATGTAACAGAAGCAAAATTAGAATAAAATTATTTATTTTTAAAAAATGGAGCGACAGAGTTGTGTATTTTGACAAAAAATACCAAGAGAAAAAAAGAATTTTCCTTTTTATTTGTTAAGTCTGAAATTGCAGATATGTACTAGTAAGCCCACTAAAAATTAACATTCGCCTAGATCATGTTTGATATACTAGATTGCATTTTCCAACTTTTAATTATTTGGTAATTTCTTTTTATTTTGAGAGGCCCCGTGAACGCGGTGGAGAGTAGCCATTCCACTCATGAAAACACTCATAGTCGAGATGATTTAAATTCGAGATTTCTCACTCGTGAAGATAAATCAAACCATACTCGATTAACTATTATTTAATACTATTTCCGTCCCATTTTGTTTACATGGTTTGACAAAACACGCATATTAAGAATTTAGTCAACAAAAGTTATTTTGCCATTTTTTACTCTAAACTCGTTAAGATATTAAAAAAAGTCATTTATTAATGAAAGATCATAAATATTATTATGGAAAAAATAATTATTTACATATTTAAATTTAGAAACCTTACAAACATTTTGAGACATTCAAAAAAGAATATGAGGCTGTCATATTACTAAGGTATCTTGTCCGTTACTGGAACTGTGAATCTTTTATTATTTTTTGTCAATAATCATTCTCCGCCAGTCTACATTTTATCCGTTTAATTCTACTCTAATATCCGTCATTTGAGAATTATATCTTAGAATTGATAGACATTTAATGTCGTATTTTTTTATTTCTATGTTTGTCGTTATATGGAAAAAATGTTTGTGCATTACAAGCAATTAAAGAATAACTAAGAATAGCAAAAACGTCATAACTTATATGTTAAAATATTTTAACGTTCCCATCGACAAAGACGGGTTACAAACGATTAGATTTAAAACCGAGACTCAGAGAGGAATATTAGAAGCTAATGTAGAGTCTCAGTGAGAAAGGGGCAGAACCGAAGTCAATAAAAGACCAAATATATTATTTTAATTTTTCTTTAACTAATAGAAGCAATAGGCCTCGCGGAAGCGACAGGGAGGTAGTGGTATTTCTTCTGGACAAAGCAGGCAAAACTCAGCGCACAGCAGCAAGAGAGAGAAAAGAATGATTAAAAAAAATTTAACCTTAATAAATATAAATAGTGTTGGAGAGTCTCTAAACTTGAGCACAATGGTATAGTAACAATAACGATCACATGAGACCTTCTTCGACTTAATAAATTACAAGTTTATTACTCACCAATTAGATCATGTCGCCTTTAGATTCATGTTGAATTATGCTAGGATTGTCACTTTTTCCAAGCTTGAAATATCCTTATTTAGCTGGGCAATTTCTTTAATGATTTTTTTAGAAGGTGCGCACCGGGAAGCTTGCCTGAGGATCTGAACGCGGAAGCTGAGGGAGAGATTGTCCATTGTATGCCCCACTCATGAAAACACTCATAGTCGGGAGATTGATTTAAAATTGCGAGTACCCTTTAGGCCCCAGTCAGCATCCGTTAGGAAGAGATTTCACAAATCAAACACCCCACATATCCCATCGGCACATTTAACTAGTTAGGTGTATAATAACGTATTGTGCCGGTGACATCTGCCCAAAACGACCCCCACCTTCTTTGGCCTTTACGATGGGGGTCCTTTGCACCAAAGAGACACACGGGCATTAAGCTTAAAGAGGCGCCAGGACATTTTAGTTGCACAATCACATACAAGGTTATTTGCCATTTGCTTCTTAGTCATGCCCTAAAACTCGTTAAGATTAATCTACACAAGAACTGTAAGAAATGGATCTCCAATTTTAGTTTTGAAAGAAAGGGGTTTCACAATAAAGAATCCATTTTATGTATTTATGGGGCGAAATACAGAAGTAAATTAACTCTACCAGTAACAGTTTTCACAATTTAGGACACCCCTAGACACACGAAGAGCGACTTCTTATTTTTGATGTCATAAATATTATTATGGAAAAAATAATTATTTACATATTTAAATTTAGAAACCTTACAAACATTTTGAGACATTCAAAAAAGAATAACAAATGGACAAAATGGGACAAAATGAGACAGAGGAAGTAATTCTTACTTCCATATTTCTCAAAGTTTTAAAATAAGTAAAATAATTAGATTTTTAGTAATATAAACTGTTAATAATATTATAATTTATAATAAAAAAATTAAGTTATATATATATATATATATATTTATTGCATTTACTTGCAACGTGTAAAACTAACAAGTACAAATAATGTTCACGTTCGAGAAAACTAAATAAAAAAAAAATCTAAATATATAAAAGTGGAAATGAGCAGGGAGAACATTGAGTTTGCAAAAAACGTAGATTTAATAAGTTTATGGATTGATAAAAATATTATTAAGGATTTTAATTTGATTGATTAAAAAAATAAAGGTAATTTAATTTTGGTCATATTAATTTCTTATCTAAATCTAAATTCTACGATAAAATAAGAAATTATATTATATACCATATAAGGTATATGTTAAATATGGTAAGAATATAATATTTTTAAGAATTTTAATTTTAGATTGGAATTAAAACAAATTAAAGGTTAATTTAAATTTTGGCATATTTAATTTCTTTATCTAAAGTTCTAAAATTCCTACGAAATTTTGATTTTTTTGAGTTGAAACAAGTGGACACATACGTTCATTTACTCCCTTCTAACGCTCCTTGCGTTTTCTCTTTACGCTTTTACTCATTATCTAATGCGAGTTTTTAATTAGCTTTTATATTGCTTATGTTTTACTATATGCATTTTAGGTAAGAAACTATTATAATTTAGTGCTCTATTTAAGAATTTTCAATTTTTAAATTATTAGGGTTTTAAAAAATTAAATTATTAAAGATACATTTAATTTTTGATATAAATTAATATTTCCCCAAACGAGGTTAGAGCTTTTTAAATCCGGAGTATTATTTCAAGCTGTATGAAGAAGACCTAAGAACATATGTATGTATTAAATATGGTTACAAGCCAAGTGTCGTATAATTACAGTAGTTTAAATATTAAAACTATAAGAATAATTTTTTTAACTGTCTCATATTAAAAATTTTTTTAATTTATTGTACTATGATACTTTTACTAATAGCTTCATTATCTCTTCTTATCTATAACGTTTAACTATTTCATCTGCTTATATAAAACTAATAAAATGACCAATACTTTTATATCATACTGTCAATTAATTATTAAGAAAACATCATATATCTAATTGTAAGACTTATAATTGCTCTTATTTATATTAAGTAGACAAATAGAAAAACTAAACAAACTCAAAATGCCGTATCTATAATGTCAGATTTGACAATAATAAGAGATATATAAGGCTTTTAATAATAACTGCTTCGTGTGATTTAATAGGAATTTATATATATAATTTAAAAGTACTGTTTATAAGGGCATTATTATTTTGTAGCATTAGATTTATTGTTTTAATATTAATGCCTTATATAAAGATCGTCAGTTAGATTAGACAAAGGTAAATTTATGTGTGTCCTTTTTAATATACAATTCAGTTATGAGGAGGAGGCCATTTAGCGTTGGTATAAAACTTAACATTTTTTATACCAAACTACGGTTTAATTGCCTTAATATGAAGGTACTATATACAATGGAAAGAGCTTAATTGGTTAAGCCGGACTCCCAAAATCTCTATCCAAATATGTGCTACCACAAATAAATCATATAATCAGTATATTTTGCCTTGTGTTGAAGCTATTTTAACAAAAAGCTAGTACTATTTAACCAGTGCACGATACTACAGTAATTAGGCTTCAGACACATGTACATTAAGTAGTGGCACTCGTCACACATTTTTGAAAGATTAAAACAGAGGCATCTTATTGGAAACACCAAAACCCTAAAAGAGTTTTTAGGAGATCTTAAAATGGACACAAGTGAAGCATTTTCGAAAACACACACTTCAATGTAATGAAGTAATACCAAATCAATACGTTTGTATTGGTGCGGAGGAAAACTAAAAGATTT